ATTATATATATATATATATATATATATATATATATATAATATAAAAACAGCCCCGGGGAAAGCATCTGCTCCCACTTGTGAAGCATCCAGGGTTGTCGGAATTCTCTGGTGCTGTCTCAAAGAACCATAGGGCTATTTTATTCTTTCCTGGATGTCATCCTGGAATCATAGCCATAGCCCCTCCAACCTTGGAGAAAGAACGCAACGCAAAGCAAGCGCCGTGGGCTTTCCGCGCAACAACGTGTCCCCGCGCACTCCGATGTCACCCATTGATGACAATCCCGTGCGAATGGCCAGGACGGGCTTCTGTGTTCTGCCAGGATAGAGGAAATTCGTTAGTAGGTCTTTAACAGATTGAGTTGAGTCGTGATGCATTTAGTCTATCTTGGGGATCCTCGCCTGCACTGCTGAGGGTGTCTATTTTTCTGCAGTTGGGGTGTCACACCTGTAGATAACAGCCCCCTGGGAGTAAGTCAGAATCGATTTAGCACCATTCTATCCTTATCTTTAATATTGTGCACCACTGAGGGAGTTTCTTTCCAGAAGGTTTCCTCTTCTTATATATACTCTTTGTATATCTGGAGGTGTTTACCTCGGTGAGATTTTCATGGCCTGTCATGCCCAGAGTGGGATGCCAATTGCATGACCAACGCTTTAACTCACTGATGGATTTTACCAGGAAAAACTGGACGACGCAGTTTTATATTTGATGATCCAAGTGTTTTCCATTAATTTGTAATGGTTGTGCCAATTCAGCAAGTAGTACTGTATTCTCAGATGCCCAGGTTCAAATCCCAGCTCTGACTCTGTGTGGGTTTGCATGTTCTCCCCATGCCTGTGTGGTTTCCTTCCAGTTACTCCAATTGTTGTCCATCGTTAAAGCATCTTTACTTGATTTGATGTTAGTATGTAGTTGAGAGTGTGTGCGCCATGTGTTGGGTTGGTACCCTGCACAGGGTGTCCCTCTGGGTAGATTTCACTCATTTGGTTTAGGTTTTGTTTGCATCATCGTTCACATTTTCCTTATAATGTGTTATTATTTCTTTGAAGGTATTAGTTTTGAGTGACTTTTTACTTGCTGTGTCGCTTACCTCCCTGTAGAGGGCGCTGTAGCGTGAACCCGAGCGTTATGTTTTATGGGTCCTCCGCCAGCATGTCTCTGCCCTCCAAGAGCAAGCTGAAGAGGCAGAGCCGCACCTTCACGCAGGTGCTCTACCGCACCTTGAGTTACCGGGACCGGCGTTCCGTCACCGACCTGCCCGAGCAGGTGCCCGATGACCCGGCGGAGCTCTCCACACAGACCTCAGCCCCCGGGGTGCTCAAGATTTTTGGGGACGAGATCTGCTCAGGGGCCAACTACAAAAGTGTCCTGGCCACTCCTCGCTCGAACGCCAAGGAGCTCATCAAGGAGGCCCTGGAACGCTACTCCTTGAACAAGGGTTCGGCTGGAAGCTATGTGCTCTGCGACGTTATCGGGAAGTTGGAGGGGCCGGAGAAGAGCTGGAAGACGGAGTGTCTGAGGGCCCTGGGGGACAATGAGAAGCCTCTGCTGCTCCAGGACATGTGGAAGCCCAAGGAGGGCTTTGCCCGGCGTTTCGAGCTGCGCAAGAGGGCTGAGGTGGAGGAACTGGCTGCCAAGGAGAAGGACACAGTAACTGCTGGTGAGTGTTAACTTCTCCCCACTGCGCCAGCATATTGACCGTACCAGTAATGGGTTTCCAGTGCCGTGTGTTATGTCCAGAAATGTTTTTAATATTCCAGAATTATCCGTATTTAATACTACTGACGGTCCCCAGGTTATGATGGTCTGTCTTACAATATTTCGACTTTACGATGGGTAAATGTTTTTCACTTTCCGTACATTTTTCAATAAATGACACGAGATATTCAGCACTTCACTTTAAATTAGGCTTTGTGTTAATGATTTTGCCCAACTGTAGGCTAATGTAAGTGTTCTAAGCATGTTTAAGGTAGGCTAGGCTAGGCTATGATGTTAGTTAGGTTGGGTGTACTGTATTATAATGTATTTTCCCCTTACAATATTTTCACCATATGATAGGTTTATCGGAACATAACCTCATCGTAACCCGGGGAGAGGGTGTGTTTTGTAATTTTGTATTAAGGTGAAAATATTGTTTGATTTTTTCTTATTATGGAAAAAAGGTTTCCCCCATTAGGTTATATGGCATATGGTTTAATAAAAAAAGCCACATGATATTACACGCAACAGCAATTTTTATGAATTGAATGACCTTTAAGTCATAAACTAAAACTGGATAATAATTAAATTAATACTGCCTGCTTTTATTGTAACTGTTTTCTGTTATTATGGAGTTATACACTTTTATAATAAATCAGGATATTCAGGATAACTATACTAGTTTAAGCCAAATGCAGAGTTGAGTCTGACTGAACACTGAGATTTTCGGGGGTTAAAACAAGCCAGCTAGGCTGAAAGGGGGAGAACAGCTGAGGCATCAGCGTCTGTTTGCCATAGCTTGGATTTCCAGTACTTCAGTTGGCCTTGCCACACTCCCACCCATATGATGTCAAAGCAGCCAGGCATAGAGATAGAGAATTATCTCAGAGTAAAGGAATTGGAGCAATTTCCAAACCATCCTGCTTAATTTTCCAAGGATTCTTTAGTTTTTCTGGCGTCATACAGACCTTCGGCAGATCATTTCTGAGTAATAAGTATTGGGTGCTCCTGTCTGTGGTGCCCTAAGAACAACAAAATTTGAGAGATTTGGTGTAATTTATAGTTGTATTAAATTCGATACAGTTTACATTCATTTGTTATACTACATTCTTTATGAAAATGATTGTGTTGAAGCTCTAAACAAAGACAAAACAAAGCAGCAGCATTTTACCCGGACCTTGAGTTCCGAGGGTTTGAAAATGATCGGTTTTGATGAATTGGAGCAAAGTACTGTAGATGAGCGTGGGAGGAATAAAGGAGAGTGGAGTGGACTTCCACTGGGTCCTGAGCTGTTTAAATCATGCTGAGTCAATGCTTGCTCTATAGATATGCAGGTCTCTCCAAAGCAGTGTCAGACTGGAAGGTTAGTGTACAGGTACAACAATATGAGGTACATAGAAACATTTGGAGTAACAGCTCTTACTAAATTAAAATAGTAGGTAGTGCAGATTTAAATGCCCAAGTATTAATCCGTCCACTGGTCACCAAACGGCATGGACCCTATAAGTGAATGTTTTACTACAGCTGTTTTATTAATGCCAAGAAATATATGAAAAGGCTTATGCTGCCATCCAAGTCAGTGTTCTCGCTCTATTATGCAAGGCTGAATACATAAGAGAGAGGCATACATTTCAGAGCTTTGTAAGGTAAAATAAAAATGTTGATGTACGTCCCAAATTTGGATGAAAGCCAAAGAGCGGTAAAGAAAAGGACATCTCTCAAAGAGAGTCTATTTTTGGTATGTTAAAGAAAGGTGTGGAGCAATGCATAATAATGCATGTGTTAACTGCATTATGAATTAGACTAACCACCGCAGAGGGAATCTCTTAAGAATGGGATCTTGATTTTGTTTTTTAAAATGAACGATTTCAAGTAATATTTATGAACTATACAAAAGTTGCTGAAGCAGTGATCCTTTTTCATAGTTGGTTAAGTGCCTGGGCTTCCCCTTTCAGTGGTATCTGTAATATTTTATTGCTTAGTTGGAGGTTCTAACTTTTCTGGTGTTTTTTGCAAATTGAAACTTTGAAACTTTAATCTATGGAAACAAGAGGAACTATTCCATTGCAGCAAGTTAGAAGTTGCTTGGACATGCTTTTCTTTTCAAAAGAGTCTAATATAGAGATCCTGTTTTCCCATCATATTATAGCTCTCTGTGAAAAACATGAATTAATCATATCAGAATGATTGATATTTGAATGTGGATGAAATAAAACTACTGAGGTGGCAAATCCTACTAGCTTAATGCCTGTGCATTGTCTGCAGGAGCAGATCAGCTTTAATAATCAACCAAAGAATGGCTACTTTCCCAGAAAGGTATTTTATTCAGATAGTAACTGTACTAGTGATAATTACATCAACAAATTGGCAGAAATCTATCGACTGGCCATCTTAACTTCCATAAATAAAGCCACAGAGTAAAACAACTTTATCACGGATGAGGCCTATATCAGAAAGAAGGCTTCCACATTTAAGAATGTGGTATATGATCTCAGCAGACTGTAAATTATAGGAATGGAGGTGGACAGTTCAGATTATACAGTATTATACAGAAATATATAGTTTTCGCTATTAATATGATTTTGTTATTCTGAGAAGCCATCTATCTTCCAGACACTTATCTAAAGCAGGAGCCAGTGGGCCTGTAGCCTATCACAGGGGCAATGGGACACAAGGCAGCTGTAGACCAAGGATGGGATGCACGTCCATCTCAAGTCAGATGGATGGATGTATGAGTGGATGGATGAAGGATTAGTTAGCATCTAATGCAGAACCACTGTATTTATTTTCTTCAGATGTTATCCTAAGAGGCCAGGCTTTATATTACATAAATTCATCATTTTGTGTTTATATTGATACCCTGAAAACAGAACAGATTAACTTTGTCCCACCATAACAATTTACCAATGCCTATTCCCTCTTGAGTTTAGTGGGAAAATCCGTGACCCCCTGCAACGCGAAAGTTGCTCACCCGTGATTAATTGCCAGTGTTGATCGTCGCAATTCTGTCTGCATTGTGCTCAATGCAGCCGCAAAGTGTTAACAGCGAACAAGTGGCCAGGTTTGCGAAACGGTCTTGAAAGCCTCCCCAGAGGAGCCCTCTACTGTCTAGCTTGATCCATATTCTGAAGAGAAACAGCAGAAACTGATCTCCGTTCCGCAAGTCATTTTATGCTGGCAATAGCTTAGCTTAGCGTTTTCACTTCGCAAACACGTCGCTTTATAAATAAATTTTCTTCCCCCGGGCCCGGTTTTTCGAGATGCCATGTCTCAGCACAAAGACATCAGTCATTAGTTTCTATGGAGACAATGAGGGGAGCAGAGGTGCCGCATGTCTGTTTTGCCCAGGTGCACAGGGACCTTTGCTCCTTTGGTTGAAGTGGCCTCTACATGTGCATCTTTAAAACCAGCTTCTCGCATACAGATAAAAGCCGTCTGTGTGTGTGTGGGATTTCTGATGAGGTCAACGTACAATTAATATTAATAACTGTAAATATTACAAATTTTACATGCACAACTCAGATAGTAGTGTATTACAAATCATTATTATCCCTAATACAAAAAAAAAAAATCACAGCTCCTTCGTGTTACGACACGAAGGTCAAAGGACTCGATTGCAGGCGTTGTGGCAAAACAAAAGGGGCTTTATTGGACTAAACATAAACTGCAAACAAACTGGATCGCGAGGGATCAAAACAGAAGGAGTAGAACAAGGAAGGACACAGGGAACAACGTCAATTACTGGACTAGCGATGATGAGACAAACAGGTACTAAAATATAGACTGATGGGGGGCAACAAGAATCAGGTGTGGCCCATCAGGGGCCAGGACGTGACAATACATGACGTGACAATACATGACGTGACAATACATGATGTGACAATACATGACGTGACAATACATGACGTGACAATACATGACGTGACAATACATGACGCGACAATACATGAGGGTACCACTTAATTATCTAAGTGTAATCTTTCAAATTCCTTCAAAATTTCTGTCCTGGATCATCTGAAAACATCAACATTAAACTGTAACTCTACTTTAGAGACATATCACACACACACACACAGAGTATATATATAGTGTGTGTATATATATATATATATATATATATACACTGTATATGCATTCACACAAACATACATACATACATATATTTGTGCGTGTGTGTGTAATGAAATAGCACAGATGTGAGCTGCATGAAATAATGCTGTGTTTTCCATAGCAGATAAGAAAGTAGAAGTGAATGTTCGATTCAATATACTTTTGAAATCATTGATCCCAGTAAGTCACAATTTACAATGAATAAACCCTAAAAGACTCAATGATGGGGATAGTTATCCAGTCATTACACCCATTCACCTGTCTACAGGTGTCTAAGATTAAAAAACGTTCAAACTGTATTTCATGTTTATGTGCTGTTTATTAGGCTTGTCTGAAACATGATAATTATTCGAGTGGAAAGCCAGTGATGGAATCCACTCAGTGTAACAGTCATCCATATTAAAGGCAGATGCCAATAGGAGGATCTGAGCCAAACAGCTACAGACTGATAGAACGATATCAGGCAAATACAGGGTCCCTATATAGCTGAGCCTCCAGTGAGGATGATGGAAATGGCGAGAGTGTGGTGACCGTTTAGATGATGACACCCGATCTCTCACTCAGTCACTTCGGCGGAGGCCAGACGGCTCGTCCTGGTGTGGCTATAGAAATGCACACTTTATACAGAACACAAGTAAACAAATGTATCCTGGGAAAATAGTTAATGATCAGTGAGTTGTCACCAAAGGCAACTTAAGACAAAGCCAGTGTTAATATGTATGTTTAGTTAATGTGGCTAAAATTACACCAAGATATACAGGGTAAAATTCTTGCTGCTGGAGTTTCAAGCCCATTAAGCTCTGTTGGACTTATTAATTTACCTTTATTTAAGCTCCACAGAGATACTGTACATATTCTAATTCCAGTAGGTCCTCCTTGACTTCTGCTATAAATGTTTGTTTCTGAGTCGTCTCAAGACTTTCCTCAGGACGAATGGTAGTTCAAGTCTGAACCCATTTGTGTCAACCTGAGCTGAGATCACACAGTAGTGAGGATTCTTTTGTTAATTACCAGGTCTGATCACTGAATGTCATATGGCAGTCTGGCCCCACTGTACTCAGCCCGTCTATCCATTGCCTGTAGCTTGGTCTTCATGCCAGAGCGAAATCCTCCAAAGGCATCCCTCCTCTTCCTGACCATGGGACGTGCCCAAAGAGAATCTACATTTGGATCAAATGGCATGTGTGTTACTAAGTAATCAAGATAAAAGGGGATCCTGTCTTTTAATGAAATGAGGTCAGAGATGAATGCAAACAAAGAATAGTCTGGAACACCTGAAGGAGAGAGAAACCCTTCCCCGCCTTTGCGGATAGGCTAGTTCTTTGCCGCAGCCTGCTATAGGTCATTTTAACGTGTCGTTCAACATGTCTTCTGAGGGAAATCGGGGAGGCAAAAGCAGGTCAGAGAAATCAGAAGGGGCTTCATGCCTTTATGGTGTTGTCTTATACATATTGTTTGTTCTTTGTTCTGTTGCAGAACGAGGTCACCATAAGTGCCCTTCAGTACTTCCCCTTCTACTTTCTGCATAAGCTTAGTTAATGTCTATGGTATTTAGCTAGGTGATCTAGGTCAACACAAGAATATAAATAGATTAGGAGTGTTTATATCTGTTTATTTGTAAAATCAAGAACATATCAGTGTCCTGGAGTATATGCCGCTGAGTATATTGTTGAGCTTACAAACTGAAATAAATAGTAGCTGTTTAGACACTGGAGCACTTGAATGGGATGGAGTAATTAACGAGCAAAATTAATAAGTAATAGATGCAACTTTACATTTCTGGACATTTCGTTGCATTATTTAGAATGATACTCGTTTATCCAGAACTGCTCTTCCAGTAAAATACATTTATAATGTTTTAATTCTGTGAGCTAAAGAGTTTTTTTTTTTCATCCTTGAATAAGCTTCCAAACTTCAAACTACTCTGTGTAATTTCTGCTTGGTGCTGAGGCAATTCAGTGGGTAGCACTGGGCCATCTGCAACAAGATTTGTGGTTTGAATCCCAACTCCCCCAACCCCCCCCCGCCGGTCCAAGAATAAGACTGGCTTAGTCTTAACCCCCCCGGTCCAGTGCTGGATAAGTACTAATTACTGCTTCTCAAGGCAGTGAGCAGCACATCACCATTTCCAACTGCACAATTGCTCAAGAATAATTTTTAATGTCACCCCTGTGCCATCCATAAATAATTAGCGTTTTTTCAAAGTATTAAAAAGCTGCAATTCTCACACAACCCGTAAATCTGTGTAATAAGCCACACAAATGATTCACGTTAATGTTTAGCTAGAACAGTATCATGGAAACCTATCCTACACATCCAAAACTAATATTAGCTTTAATTCCGGTATCCTACTTGATTTATCTTAGGAAATGTGATTGGAAGTTTTTTTTTTGGGATTTTTCTGATTGAAATAATTTCTGACTAAGAAATAACCTGATTAACAAAAAGAAAAAAAGAAAAAAAAACATAAATCAACTAAAATATATGCTTCTCAAACAATGCCCACTTTCAGGGACACAATGGCTAGTTTGTCCAAAGGGTTTTTTTTTCAAGGGTGCCAGGAATTCCAAGGGTAACAGCAGCGGTGACCGTGTCAGCTTCACTTAATTCCTGCCCTGATATTCATGCACATGAGCTTGCATATACACACACCAGCTGCTGAATGGTACACAAAGATGCCAATTAGTGCATTGCAATCGGTATAAGCAGAATGGCTCTTACACGGAAGCAAGGTGACATGAACGTCGCCGTGATGTATGGTGAATTTGTACCCGGCTATTTTCCGGTCATCTATTGTAAGTAATTACTTATCCGAATAGGTCTGCAGTCTTTAGCAGGAGAAAGCATAGAGCACAATGCCAGAGCATTGCAGGAAATTCACACATGCGCATTCATTTGAAGGGTCACATGGCATCAATAGAGTTACAGTTTTATTTCACCTGGCAATGGGTGCTTAATGTAATGTTATTTATTTTTATTGATTATGGAAATAAAATGAGCATCTTTCTTTGAGAGAAGCATTATTGGCTCACATGTTAATACAATATGTTTATCACTGCAGAATATGGAGGGTGTCTTGGAAGTGGTTGGGGGGGAGGGGGTTACAATTTGGTCTAATGCGTAAAGGCTTTGTTTATGTAGACAGGCAATTAGGCTTTAATTTGTATCCATTTATCCACCCATGAGGTTTTTACTGGGCTTTTATTGAAAGTACAAACACTAAGGATTCCACAGTATAATCTGAAGTCTCTTCTGATCTTAGATTTGTTTTTGGGTTTTGTTCTGTTTCAGTTTTATTGTTGGCTCTCTCTGAACATCTGCAATGCAGCAGCACATTTTCTTGGCACTTATAAATGGGATTATAAAGATTAAGTTGTAATGGAAAGATATGCAAATGTTGGGACCACATTTGAATAGTTAATTAAATGCACGTGCGTGGGGCTGCGCGCTGATTAGCGGCTGCGGTGAGCGGATTCAAGGGTCACATCTACTCTGCCAGTATCTGCAGTGTGGAAGTCGTGCGCCACCGACTGCTACTCTAACGCAGCATGTTTGCACAGGAGGCTTAGCATGAGCGCTAGGTGTCTGAGGAAGCGCACACTCGACGGATGGTCGCAAAATGAAATCCCACATGTTAGCTTGGCAGGGAACCGGAGAATAAATCTAGGCACCATTGACCGCACCTGAAAAATGACTTTGAAACATTGCGTGTCTCTTCTGTTTAATCGCTTGCAGTGACCTTTACAGGATTCCCTCTCTGTCTTGCTCTGCTCAGATGAAATACGCATGTAATTGCACAGATTCTAACTCTAACATTTGCGCTCTCTCCTGCTTTTCTGTATTCATATTCTTAATTTCTAGCAATTTGCTATAATCGCTTCTAAATAAAGGATGGTGTCTGCAATGAATGGTAATTAATGCCTAGATAGTATAGAAGAGATTTGTTCTACATGGTTGATGTAATATTCATACTGTTGAACAATTGATAACTCAAAAGATTCATCTAGTCATACTTGAGTCCTACATGCAGTTATAAGATTCCTGCAGGTATAAATGATGGTTCTTTTCTGGTGTGTGTGCCTGCATGTTAATATAATTGCAATCAGTGGTTGAAAGTTAACTCTTCATTGTTGTAGGAGTCCACAAACGCTCCCACGCCCTTGTGCCACCTATGGGTAGGGCTGGGTATGTTAAGCCCCGAGGTTCGCCCCACTGCGTGCGCTCGTCACAGCCCTCCACTCCTAGTTTTAAAGGTGGGGATTGTTCTCAGGTATGACTCTTCTCCCACAACCATGTCCCATTCCATCGCCTCCATCTGCCAGTCAACGTCAGCTTCGTGTGATGAAAGAAAATCACGACAACGGTTTTTGCAACACTGTGGTTTCCTTGGAATGTTGCTCCCGAAATCACCAGGAAGCTTTGAGGGAGCTAGAACTAAGGCTAATTAATGAATGCTCATCACTATATTTGCAAGGAAAGTCAATTGTGCACAAGGCTGTTATTTATGGACAAATGAAGGTATGCTGATGAGAATCCCATTGCATGATAGCATGTTTCTCCCAAAACAAAAGCAGTATTTATATTCCCACTCATGCAAACCCATGACATTCTCTGTGGTCTCTGTGGCCCATACTGGATAGCGGTTAGCCTGATAACATTAGCCGCATGCTAATCTGGCTCTTCCTTTCAGATATCAATGCCCAGGCCAGGAAGCTACAGAGGAACCGGGCAAAAGGGACCATGACCCTAAATTCAGGGACCTCCTTCTGCCGCAGTCTGAGTGAAACCAGCCTCAACCTGGTGGGAGGCCCTGGGGAGGAGCCTAAGAGGTACTACTCCACCCTGCCCGGGCCCCTGAGGACACGGAGCGGCAGGGATGCGCTGCAGGCGGGCCGGAGGAAGGAGGAGAGGGATGGTGGAGGGGTGCGGCACTCACTCTACCAGTCCCCACATCTTCTGCTTCTTCAGGGCTACAACCAGCAGGTACCGAGAGCACTGATTGGTCAACAATCTGTCACAGGCACTTGGGCTGAATAAAAAACTCTTTAGTTCCCAGAGTTGAGAATTGCCTTGGTATTATATACGCTTATTCGCAGGGATGCACGTAACTGGTACGCAAGTATACATTTACCTTTAAAAACGATACGTGTGACAATCGATTGTTGTAACAACCCAAGCATGTATGTATTTTATGTGCATTTATGCTGCTATGACAAGAAATTGCTGTGTATTTTATCCCTTATACCGTAAATGAAGTACGAATTAGCATATAAATGTTAAATGTACGATACTTTCTTGTCATATCAGCGAAAATGCACATGAAAATAAGTACGCATTTGCGCTGTTACAACAATCGATTGCCGCAGGATTCGTTTTTAAAGGTGAATGCGTACTTGCATACCAGTTATGTGCATCCCTGCTTATTGGGAATTATTCATTCAGAAGATAAGGCCATCTGATAAATTACAAGATCAGGTGACTAGATAGGTGATTAGGTACGTGTACTGGTGGGAGGATTGCTTTACTGCAACAGGTCTGAATATTTATAGCAAGAAAAACAAATAAACAAGTCACATGATGTGGCACAGTCGTTAAACAGTTGGTTTAACTTTTAATCCTTTCATTTAGTGGTGGAGGGGTGTTTTAATTTAACGGCCAGCTGAGAGGTGGTCCGAGGCTCTCGCCGGCTGCCTCGTCCTGAATATTTTATGTGCAAAGGGGGCTTTACCCCCTCATCTTGGAGGAGGGGGGCAGCTGCAGATCTATGTGAGGGAGAGAGATCAGCAACCTCAGGATTAATGCAGCGCAGCTTCTGAGCTGCCAGCAGCGCCGCAGTGAGCCTGCATGCAGTACCCAGCAAGGCCAGCGAACACCACCCTCTCACCGCGCAGTAATCAGGCTGCCCGCTCGACCCGGGCGTCTTCACCGGGGCCTTGTCGGTGATCTCGACTCCACCCGGCCGAGGCTCCCACAGGGGCTTCTTGCCGACGCCGTCACTCGTCTCCGTCGAGCGTCAGGTGAAGCAGGCGCGTTTCCGGTGCTGTGCTGTCAGTCACCGTGTCACCGATTGGATTCTGAAGAATCCCGCTTATCCGATCGGTGGGAATGTCAGCAGACACTGGGAAAAAATACTTCTGATGAGAGGGTTATTTTAACTAATTTAAATTAACCCTTGAAACTAGTCTAACAGCAGAAGACTAGTTCAGTTGTCATATAAGGAAATCAAGCTTATTAGGCTGCTGACCTTAACGAGGGGGATAGTTCCTCGGTATTATTTTAATTGTCATTGCTCACCATAGCTGACTGATTGACCAATGCAAGTATTTACTGGTTGGTTGTCTCTACTGCCCCTTTAGCTTTCAGCAGTCGTTCTAAATGCCTGCTACTGTACGATTTTATATCGTGTGTTTTAAAAATCATAATAGTTATTTCGGTTGTTCTTTGACTACAGTTAACAACGGCTGTAGGGTAAAAAAAATCAGAAATTAATTTTCTGATGTAATACTGTCACATGTGCTGGGATATAACTGATATTAAATTCAACTGATGTTATGAAGCAGTGTTGACCTGATGTTGAGAAACCAAATCTCACTTAGACCCTAATTCCAAGGCTCTTGTTTCTGAGTGCCGTCCTCTTCCAGAGCCCCCAAACTCCATTTACTGGACACTTCCAGCACCGGTCATGCCCATGCCCCCTCTGACAATCTGCCCTGTGCTAACTGTGGTCCACGTCTCCAGGACTGCCTGGTCTATCTGCTGAACCGGGATCAGCACACGGTGGGCCAGGAGACCGCGTCGGCGCGACCCAACATCTGCCTGTCTTCGCCGGACATCCTGCCCCTGCACTGCAAGATCAAGCGGGTCAAGGTGGTGCACAGGTTCACCTCCGCCGTGGAAGAGCGTCTGGTGGTGGAGCCGGTTCCCCACGCCAGCGTCCTGGTGAACTTCTCGCGGGCGGAGCGGACTACGCACCTCCGGCACGGGGACCTCCTCTCCTTCGGGGCTCACTACATCTTCCTCTACAAGGACCCTGTAAGTGCCCGGCTGTTGCCCACCCAGACGCTGGCGCACCTGCAGATCCTTGGCCAGCAGCATGAGGGCGACGGCGAGCCTGGCGGCCAATCGTGCCGGACGTGCGGCTCGCTGGTGAGGGACGGCCCGGCCCGAAGGCAGGCCTTCAAGCCGCTGTTGAACAAGAACCGGATGCTGCAGAAGAGGAAGCTGCAGCTGGACTTCGAGAAGGCCCACGAGGACGAGCTGATTGGTCGGATCATGTCCCTCATTGAGCCGGGGGGAGACGACCACAAGCTGACCCCCGCCTACCTCCTGTGCCTCTGCATCAAGCACTCAGCCACGGCCTTTGAGCCCGGGAACTTTGGCAAGCTTCTGCAGAAGATCGTCAAAAGGATACAGACAGTCGCTTGGGTTAGTGTCATGGAGGCATTTCCCGTGAGTGTGTCTGTTATGTGCTGCGTCTGTATTGTTTGCCCCTCTCTCCTCTCTCTCCGTGCCGTTCACCTGCGGCTGAAGCCGATCCCCTAAGTCCCGTCGCAGGCAGCTCGCTGTTCACCGTTCATAATTAGATTCTTCGTGGCTCCTAAGGCTCGTCATCACCTGATGTTTAATTGCAGACTCGCAGCAGATAAGTGGGAGTTTCTCACTAGTCTCATGAGGCGTTTCGGCGGGGGCTGATGACGCTAATTACAGCATAAATGACTTTTGAAAAATGATCGAGGCTTCACTCTGAGTGATGCTATCATACAGAATGTTTTATTTTGAGATAGTTGGTGAAATAAAGAATTCTGAAATACACCAGCTTGTGTTTTACACAAGTGTTTCTCTTTCTTAGTAAACTAAATTTAAAAATTTAGAGCAGACATGGTTGTTAAACTGTACAAACGGTATAGATGACTGAATGAGTCGCAGTTATGATTATCATTGAACTCTAATTCTCCTGCTAGTCACTAGATGTTTAGTCGTTTGGATGTTCAGTCCTACCGAACTTTTATGTTAGTTCACCATAAATTGTTGATTTTGTTTCCCTCTCATTGTTTGTTTCTATATTTGCTGATATAGCATCATTAAAAATAAAATAGTCATCACCATCAAAAGGAAATTACTTTAAATTAACCAAATCCCAGAAAAAAGTCCCTTCCCCTTTGATCTAACACTTTTAATTCTTAAGTCAAAGAAATATATTTTGACTTAGCATCATAAACTATTTCTAAAATCAGCAATTTTGTCTCGGTGAATTCTGTGTAAGCAGGCCATAGAAGTGCTCACATCGTCTGAGCTCATTCTCCAGTATTGAACACAGAGCGTTGCTCAGCTGGTTAAGGATCTGTGCTCAGCTCTGGAAGGTCATAGCTCCAAATCCCACGGTCAATAGCGTAACCCTACTGCTGCGGGGCCCTTAGCCCCAGCCGCTCCAGGCCCGGCTCTCTGATCCACACATATAATCTGCATCTGACGAAAGCATCCGCGAAATAAATATAGAACCGCTGTGAGCCACTTGGCTTCACCAGAGTCCTTGTCCACATTTATTCTCATTTCTTAGTTTGTTCAGAAAGTTGCTAAATGTTTAAAGTAGCCAATTCTCCCGTGGAGAAACCTTGTCTGAATGTTTTCGCGAGACCTACAGCTTCATGGAGGTCCGGCACTTGAATCGATCGTAAAGGTCAGTTTCACAGTGTTAACTTTGATCATTTAATGTTAGTTGTGATGTGTCAGTTCTCGTTTTCCTTCACCGCACATCTGTGAACGAAAGAGTCCGCCATCTCCAGTGTGAAGCTGTTAATGCCTGATTTATTTTAGACACAGACTTGTGAGGATCGGTTGCTCCTATGGTGTTTAAACTTTTACGAGTGCCTAATTGTGTCGTGTGTCTCGCAGGAGAAGACAAAGGAACTGGCCCAGAAGCAAGCTCAGCAGTGAGTATCGCATTACGCCTTCTGACAGCGAGCATCAGTCTCCCTGAAGGCAGAGAGGAAAACATCACAACATCTCCAGACGTTCGAGTAGAACCTCAAGCATCCTGAGGCTGGGAAGCCGTTAAAGAACATTGATACTTTTTTGTAGTATTTTAAAGCTGCTCATGCATCCTATAATTACGTTCTAAAAAGCTTGTTTCACATCGATGTTGTTCACTTATATCAGGTGTTTGGCTGTGTAGTTACCTGATAATGCTGTACACGGTTCTCCCAATATCAGCTATCAAAACACCACTCTGTTGCCTCCCTCCACCAGCCAGGACCCAACCTCCCTATCTCTGCTCAACATCTCAGACCTGATCCCCGACCTGCAGGTCATATTCTTCTGGATGTCCAACGCCATCGAGATCCTCTACTTCATCCAACAGAAGTGTCCCGCCTACATGCAGGGGATCGAGCAGCTGGATTCCAAAGGTGCACGTCTCCTGTAGCTATCCGGCGTGTCCCAGCGGGAAGGGCGTCCGAAGCAGTGCTGATGGGAGTGTGATTCATATAATGTTTTCCCTTTTTAAAGTGACGGCAGGCTTAAATGTGTCAGAAAACCTCTAATTAAGTGCTTTGGGAGAGATTTTTATGAGAGTCGTTTGTCACACAGATTTCACTAAAGCCACAGTAATAAACTAAAGAATAGATAACAATAATTAATTAAAGAGAGAATTTAAGAGTGATCTGATTCATTATCATATTCAAGTTGAGTATTGAAATGCATATCTGTCCTGCTGTAGCGAATTCCCAAAGGCAGCAAACACGAGGTCTGCGCCACTTGAGGTAAAGCGGGTAGGATTTGTGAGCTGGAGGTGAGGGGGGGTTAAGCGGCTCGCAGGCCACCGCTGGCTCGGTGTAGGATGGTGACAAATAATTACTGGGTGCTAATTAACAGTGACAGCCAGCAGCCCAGGAAATGCTATTACCGCCCCCCCCTACAAGATTATCTGGGGTCCACCCCACCCCCGACTCGGTGTCAAGCTACAGCGTCAGACAAATACGAAATCAGTCCAAAACCAATCTAGTCCGTTTTTTTTCCTTTGGGTTTCCTTTTAAAGTAGAATTAGCATCTGCAAAGAGACATACACGTTCCTGGTCTGTTTTCACTACAGTCAACAGCAGAGTCTTTTTAATATTAATTTTATCACAGGAATAGATGTTGGGGAAAAGGATGGATAGGATTTTGACACGCTGAAACTCACAAAAGAAAGGTTAACAACTTGCCCTCATGTTCAAAGCATCTCTGTAATGCAAAGTTTGCAATTAGGAACAAACAGAGCCTCTGATTAGCATTATTGTCCTGGAAAGGCATGTGTCTATGCTGGCTGAGCTACAGTATGAGAGCACTTGATACTCGCATTAGTGAAGCCTAAGCCAAAATAAATGGAATAGTAATGTAAGCAGGGAGCTCAGGACCTCCAGAGGACACTTCTCATCACACATGGGGTTTTGCCTGTCATGCCGCACTCTTTCAGTGGCTCAGCGTGTTGGGGAACTGTGCAAGTAATTGGAAGGTCGTTGGCTCAGATCTTAGAGTTGGCAGTGACATCATCATCGGGCTCCTGAGCAAAGCCCTTAACCTCAAATTGCTCCAGGGACTGTCTGACCTCGTTTTCTCCAAAAAAAAATGTTAATTGCTTTAAATAAAAGCATCTGCTAAATAAAAAATGTAAATGTTTATTGATATACGTCTTACAATGTCATGGTGTGTGTTGTGTTATGTATGGTGTATATAATGTGGAGTAAATATCACCCAAATTCCAGTAAAAAAAAAAGTCAAAAGCGGGCACCATAACTAACTGGTGAAAAAGAACTTTTATGTTCAGTTTTATATTTAACAAAAATAAGTCTAGAGAAAATCCTTTGTTTGCACTGGATTAGAGCATATCAAGAAAATGCCATTCATGCTAAACATAATTTCCAGCATGAATCCCAGCTGTCTTAGGATTTAGAAGACTATTGTTTACGTTTTATTCTGGGCTCGGATTTTCAGCCCTTATTAAACCGATTGTCATGCAGTAATTGTGCGCTAGTCTTATATGTAAGGATATTATATGCAAGGTTGCATGTAAGCATATTAGAATCCTGCCTGGTTACAGAGCCGAATGTACTACGCCTGAGACCCCATTTAGATGATTCTCTGCACCAGTGCTAACTTGTAGTTTGGGCTCAGCAAAGGGCAGCACGGAGAGCTCTTTGACGCGATTGCTCAGGAAAGAATGTCATTGCCATCACACTGGAGTCACAGCACCAGGAACTGTTTCCATGGAAATATTCCCTAGATTGACACTGTAAAGTGCAGTCATGTGCAACATAAATACACAGTACTGAGGACTGTCAAACAATGGCTTTCCCCACAAATCCTTATTTTTAGCTAGGTTGTGCTGGAAAGGCATAAAACGTGTGGCATCCTAAATTTGCTGGACAAAATAATCATCAAAGAACAAGCCAGACAAAATATTTATTAGTATATTTAGGGTTAAATATATATACTGCATCTCTCAAGCACTTTGCTGCTCCGTGAATGACAAATTAGCATATCAGAATGCCAGGAAAATGTGAAAACGCTGGCTTGTATGTAAACAAATGTGTGAAAATACCACGTCAGCCAAGTTTTTCTTACAGCGTGTTTTTAAAATAAGAAATCTATCCGGTATATTGACATTCATATTTCGCTCAAAGAATGAACGTCAAGTACAATGTAACTATCTGTTTAAAAAGGGTGGGAGGACTTTGGCAGCCTTGTGTTCACTTGTTCTTTATGTTTACAGTTTGCACATGTTTTGACACCAGTGTGAGTTTCCATCATTTTCTGCCAGATCCTGGCCAACATGTATGTATATTCTACTATATATAATATTGATGCTCCTGCGTTTAGGCTCAAAGGAGTCTTTGCTCTCAGCGACCATCTCAGCCAATGAGGAGGCCATGACCATCCTGGAGGAGGTGATCATCTACACGTTCCAGCAGTGCGTCTACTACATCACCAAGGTCCGTGCCGCGCTTGGCAACCGCCCTCATCCTCTCTGTACACTCCCTGTAATTTGATAATCACGTTATCCGGGTGTCACCGCCGGTCAAGTCTGATTGATGCTGCCATTGGCTCCCGGTCAAGACAGTAAAAGTTGACAAATGCTGTTGTGGGGGAGGGGCAGTGGTAAAATGCTGTAATGTGTCCAGATTACACAGCGGCCAGTGGTAGGCCTCCTCCGGCACGTGTTGCTGTCACAGCTCAGAGGAGCTGAGCCAGGTGGCCATGAATGTGTCTCATGGGGGGTGTTATGGTGCCACAGGAGTCGCATCACAATGATTATAAAAAAGAAGGAACAAAAGCAACATAAGACAACGGGAACCCTAATACGCTTAGGTGTGGCCATGATACATGTAGTACAGTATGCTGGCAGGCCTGATGCGTACTGTTAATAATAGCAGGCCTCCGGATGGACACGAGCACATCCGCCCTTCTTATAGGTGGTGATCAAACAATTATTGTCATTATATGTAGTTTATCATCCAGCTAGTAAAACTGCAGCAAATATAATTTAGCTAATTATTTGGTTGGGAGGCAGTTTTCTCATGAACACCTCACTGGTGCGTACAAATAATCAGGGAACAAAGATCATTACAGACAAGGTATGGCAGGTAGTCGGTACTGCGGCATTTGTGCACTGTTTCTTTGCACACACAAGTCTGTGCACCGTGATCCTTTCAGAGTGATGCATCCACTCAGACAGTTAGCGCTGTCCGGTGCACAGCAGATGGTCACCAGCCCGCAGAGTGACACTTAAATACACTCTGGCACCAAATAACCCCTCTAATCTGGCCTCTTATGCCTGCTGGAGCACCTGCTGAGAGGGACATTAATAGCACAGTCACTGCCATGTGCAGACAGCCCATGCACTGGTCTGCCAGTCTGCCAGTGGACTTTGGGCTGTTGATGGAAGGGAGCCTCTGGTCTTTGGGACCACCTGCTTGCAGGCAGATCCGCATGGCCGCAGTGCTGCGGGGAGGGGGGGCAGCCCCCATCTGTGGCGGACGTGGGCATCGAACCACGCTAGGCGTAGGATGCAGGGCCAGGATGGTCACTGACCTGTAATCCACAGGGCCTGGCAGGTGTTTTATCAGGGATGTGTAATTAGTCACGTGTCACCTGACTGAAGTCACAAGTCACCTGACCCGAGGAGCTCGTTTTCGTGGAGGAGGACCTTCAGTCTTTTCCCTCTGTGCTTTTTGTTCTAAGCTTGTATCTTTATCTCGGATGGTGGTTGTGCCCTCAGCTATGGTGTACAAGGGCCCACTGTACACACTGTACACACTGTACACAGATCCTATATATTAATGCACCCATTTTCATAATGCTGTTAAAAATTCTAAGCTAGCTGCTACATCTTTAATTACCATGTAATTTAAACAAACAAATATTAGACCTAATACAATTTGCCTTATTTATTCTGCTCAACATATTTATATATATAGTATATACAGTAGTTAGCAGTTATATCATGCTAAGTTTTAACATATGAGTAAATCCTGAACGCATCCGAGTAAATGTATAAATTATGTATACTCATCAGTTTTTTTTTAAACAGTGTCACCTCAGCAATGCTGTAGTAAATAAGGACATTCATAAAATTCAATTTGTTATAAATGTTCTTTTTTTAAATTATGGATGAAAATTCACAATGTCAGTTTTTGAGAATCAGAATTTCTGCACATTTTCCCTTGTGTGATTTATATATACTAACACACTGCCGGAAACGCCACACCGTCAGGTGAGCGGTGTAAACAGAAGCTAAGCGTGTGCCGGAGCTGGCAGTGCGCACATGCTGTGCTTTTGAGATCTGCGCGTGTGTGTGCTGTCGTCCTGGGGACCGCGTTGTGCCATAAACATTTTCAGTGAAAGCACACATGAGTAAAATAGAGGCAGTGGAGTTGGTAGTATAAAAATAAGGGTAAATATTATAAACAAATGCAACATAATGGAAACCATACAGTGCTATTCACTGGATTCCCCTGGTGACAATATAAAAGTCAATAAAAACTATAATAGCTCGGATTGACTAGGCTAACGATATGAAAGTCTTTCATCTTTCTGAGTATGTGGAGCAATATTATCCTCGATAAAAGTGCACATTTCTCTCTTTTTTCAGTCCCTGTATGTGGTCCTACCGGGGATACTGGACTGTAACCCGTTTCAAGGGGAGAACGCTGACCCCTGCTGGAAGAGGTCGGTGCTGCCACCCGAGCCAGTGCGCAAGGTGCTACAGGTGTTGCAGACCACACAGGAGCTGCTGCAGCAGTACGAGGTGCACCCTGAAATCCAGTCCCAGATGTTTTCCTACCTGTTTTTTTTCTCCAACGTCTCCCTGTTTAACCAGCTCATAGACAAAGGTGAGCAGTGGTGATATTTGGCTTCCTACTGTAATTATGAAGAGACATTGTCCATGTAATTCCTTTATTTTGTTGCTGTTTGGGTAAATTTACAGAAAAAACAATATTTATCAGGCCCTGCTGTTGCTTTTAGTCTTTGATCACCTTATTTGATTACCTTATTTAAGTCTCTAACAAGCTGAGCAGGATTCGCTCCTGTTTTTCACAGGAACATGGTTTTGTTTTGTGTGATAATGAATTCCACTGACTGTGAAGTTCTACACATAACCAGGTCATATCCACACATTTGCCAGGAGAATGTATGCAAGAAATTACGCTGATTTTATTTTTGCCCCAGTAAAATTTTTAGATTAATGGAGATAATATTGTAAATGAGCAGATATGAGGTTGAGAAATAGTCTGTCCGATGGAGATCATGAACCATAAAAGCATTAAAGAAGAACTGCAGTGTCCTTTCCTCTGGGTTGCATGGCTTGAATTTCTCAACCTGGCGACGTTTAGTAGAATTTTTAAATAGTGCGCATCCCCTAAAGACTGTCTTCACAGACACCATTTTCTTAATATCTCTGTCAAATGTAATACACATTAATATAATCTTCAGATATGTCATTTGCTTTGGAAATCCATCTCCAGAACAGCCATCGCCTCCCAGTATCATTTAAAGTCATCAAAGCACTTTTGAGATGAATGATTCATCCGAGCAAACAGGCTCCGTGTGAACGGGGGCCAGTCGAGTAAATGAGGGGCGGGTGGGGAGGGGGGAGTTTGTCTTTATGCGTCCTCACGACTGCGCGCCTCCCAGCTCGCACCCTTTCTGGATAGTGCCGCAGCGCGTCTCAGCGTTACTCGGTGTAGGATCTGGTTTTGCGGTGCCTGTGAAGCGGCTCATTACTAAAACATGGGCGTCTGGGTGCCGGGGGCTGACGTCCGCAAGCGAACCCCCCGCCGCAAAACACACGCCACTTCGGCAGCCATGGAAACCGGTGCCAGCAGGACGGCGGCGGGATGGGTAATGATGCGTCGAGTCACACCAGGGCAGATAAAATGAGAGCAGGTGACCCCTCTCACGACCCCATTGTTCTCAACAGCTTTCATGCCGCGCTATGTGTTAGCTTAGCCGTAGCGAATAGCTGGTGGGGGCTTGAGGGAATGTGTTTTATTACCGAGCGCCGAATGGGCTGATGGGACTTTGGCTCCGTCTTGGGGCTGGTAGCCCGCTCGCTGTGTCTACTTTAGGAAGAGATTATTGCTCGTGACAACAGATAATCCTATTATTGTTCTGTCATATGACTGCAAATAGAGAGGGCTATTACTGTACTTACAAAACACTGAATTTTTCAAATTCTTTGTTGCCCTGCTTCTTTCCCACAGATATTATCATATAAGGCATAATTGCATTTTGGTATTACCGGATCAGACTTTTAGATCTTAAACTCACATATATGATTTATTTCACAATACACTATCCGTTCAATCACTTACGAATACCTTCCCAGAAAATTAGATATTTAACATAAGTATTGTTTTACTGTAAAATATATTTATGGTTTTATACTTTCCAACTACATAGTAGCATTTCTTTAGTTCTTTCATATATGTTGAGTATGAAGTTTTCGGTAGGTGTATGGATGCACTCTGAAAGTAACATTTTACAGGTGCGCTTTACGTAAAGCACTGCTAGCAAGTACAATGTATACCTCAGATTTGAGGTAATCTGCTCATAGCAAGCGTATTCCATGTCACAGAACGGCATTAAAGCAATATTAATATACATATATCTGATATGTGCTGGGAAGTGAATTGTAGAGCATTTAACTGTTAATACTGGATGTGAAAGTGCTGGTTACAAATTCATGCCACACTGCCAACTGGTATGAATCCTAATACCCCGGAAGGCACTCACACCACACAGGAGAAATACTTGTGAAATCACACCTTAAAGTTGTAAAGTGGAAACGATGGTGGATTGTGCGAGAGCGTGACCTCTCTAATTCTCACAAAGGCTCCATCTAACTGCAATCTGTAAGGAAACTAATCTTCACTCAGCTGGCAGGAAATCTGAATAATTCTGCACTTTCGTCTTTTTCCTTCCACTCTAAAGAAGTAACACGACAAGAATATTAGGAAACATTGTGGCACCTTAAATTCCACAGTCTTACGGTAGCCAGGAAAGAGCCAGTATACGGCATGCTCCTTAATTACGATGAAATAAACATCTAAACATGCTTTAAAAAAAGATGTGAGAAACTGGGAATTGAGTCCCACTGCTGAACTGACTCCTCTGCTCTGTGTGGGGGGGGGTTTGCATGTTTTTCCCAGTGCACCAGTTTCCCACCAGTGTAACAATTACTAGCATGACTAACTTGATTGTGTGGGTGTGATGGACTGGCATAACTATGCGGAGAACGGTATTAGAATGATATGAATTTACATACACAGGAAGTGCTGGGAGGCGGTAAAGCATCACCATAACACTCAGGATGAGTACATAGGAGTTACACTGCATGCTGGCTGACCCAGTGCTGGGCCCCCAGCTTGGTCTCACCATTATGTCTGTGTGTCTGGAGCCATGTAGGATAAGCAGAAAGAAACATGGATGAAAAAAGTATCTCTGTCTGGGAGGAACCCTGGAATTTGCTCCAGGCCCCTCACACCCCTAACCAGGCTGTAGGATAGAAGGATTGAGTGATGGGTGATGTTGCTGGTATCTGAGGGGAGCCCCGTGTCGGTGCTTTTGTGCCGAGGTCCGGCCCGTGGCTGGTACCAGCGCTCCCGGATCCTCCAGGTCCAAGCATGCCTCCGAATGGTGCTAGACTGGGCCAGGAAGGCAGGCCTGGCACATCTAACCGACAAGTTCCTGGCCAAATTCCGCAGCGCCGTCAGCATCCTGACCACGCCCCTCCAGCAGCTGCTGCAGGTATGTCCTTCCTCTCCATCCCTCACTCATATTTTCATCCTCATTTGCAACCTTTCCTGCAGAAGATGTGCAGTCTGCTTCTTCATGATCCCTCCCTGAGGAATTCAGGATTCTTCAAGATTCAGGCATAATGTTCACCACAGACGGAGAACTCTGAGAATGCCGTGGAGCCGGTTCCGTTTCAGCCGGCCTATTCAGCCGTTGCCGTCTGGTTCTCTGATCCCTGCGGGCCAGTACAGGATCTGCAATGCCTCCTTCTCCATATGGTCACTGCAGAACTTCCTATCCTGTGGTTTCTACAGCATGTTACATTGCAACAAATGCGAAGCCAAATTTCCGCCTCACTGGGAACAACGTAGGGGTTTCTCAGAGCGAAGACAAACCAGATGAGATTTCTGCTCCTGGAATTTAGCTCGTTTAAGCAAATCATGGTTAAATAAGTGAAAAAAAAATCTTACTGTGTCCTTGGCAGGAAAATTGGTGCAGATTTATGTCTCGGCAGATAGAATACATAATTGAACGGCATTAAGATATCACAATGGGCCTGCAATGATTTTTAGAAGTCCGATGTCCAATTTAACCACGAGTACAGCTAATAAATCATCTCCCAGGAAGTCATTCCTCCGTGGGCCGGTGTCACCACTGCACGCCTGGCGCATGCAGTTCATGTCCTCCCATGTGACGCTGTTTAATATCGGCGTTGGTTTCCAGGGAAACTGGGAGCTGGCCCAGGCATTTGAGGTAAAGCGTAAGCAAAGCTGATCATGGTGCCCCCTGGCGCCCCCTCTGTCTGGATGGGTTCACAGATGAGCTGGAAATCGCTGTCTCTGGATCACCCATCCCTGAAGCCCGTCCAGCTGCACCGTATCCTGACGCAGTACCAGCTGGCAGCGGGCACGGGGCCCGTGACCTCATGGCAGCCTGGTCCAGATGAGGAGACACACATCTACAAAACAGGTACGGGGCATCTCCCTCTGTCTCCCCCGTCAGCCAGACTTAGATCTTGTTCAGGGAGGCTGGAGTTAAATATAAGCTGTTTAGCGGGCGGTTTCTCAGTCAGTTAAAATCCAGAAGGTCATGGGTTCAAATCCCATGACTGGCAGAGTAATGATGTCACCATCAGGCCATTGAGCAAAGCCCTCAACCCCAACTGCTGCAGGTGGACTGGATGCTAGTTGACCCTGCTCTCTGACCACAAAACTTTCCTCACTTGTCCGTCACTTTGCACAAAAGCATCCGCTAACTAAATAAAAATGTTAATTTACCCAGTAATCGAGCATCATACACATCAGATCCATAATTCTTTTTTGAAGTTTCACTTTTGGATCAGTGTAGGGTGTGGCGAGAACCCAATTTCATTTTCACACCTGGAGATGATTTATGGGCTGAGGGCTGTGGTTTAATGCTGCTGACACGGGGCTGGCGGAAATTGGATTGGAGAGACGGAGACTCCTGGGAATCGGGTGGACAGAATGGGGGGAATCAAATGCAATCTGCTTGAGGGAAGCGATAAATAAGTCTGATGTTGCCGGGTCATTCTCCCCTGCTGGCTTTTAGTGGACCTGCTGGAAAGTTTTGAGAACCACCCGCCCATTGTTCTGCCCAGCAGTGGGTTCAGGGTGGACCTGGACTGCGACGCCGTGGACGAGAACATTTACAGGCAGTTGCTGTACGTTCGACACTTTCTGTGGGGTCTGAGGACCAAGTCACCCTCCACCAACGGCAGCACAGACTGGCAGGAGCCGCAGGTAACGCCGGCCTTATCTTCTGCGCTGCTTCAGCTGCTCGTTTGGAGCGCAGTCAGCAGAGATGTCCTTCTGAGTCATTATTTCATTTGTACAAAACTGGAGCAGAAGTCATCCCATCCAGGGTGCAGCCCAGCCTTAGCTGCCAGGGAAAGGTTCCAGGCCCCCATGCTATCCTGACCAGGATAAGCTGTTAGAAGATGGATGGATGGATGGATGGATGGATAGATGGAATCAGAAAGTATAAATTTCGCATACCACACATACAGGGCTGATGAAACCTCTAGTCATTTGTAACAGATCCAGAACGGAACTACATGTGAATGTTGAAGAAATTCTGAGGATCCAGCTACAAATACAATTAGTATTTGCAGTCAATTATCAATTGACAAAAAATCTCCAAATATCATCCCTGTATGATGTTAAAGCTGATCTGCTGTCATCCTCTCCATGTGCTGGAAACAGGAACCATTTAAAGAGTCGTAATAATCTGGCAGATGAGGGGACCCCTCTGTCGAGGAACCAAGCAAACTGCTAGACAGGAAAATCATTCTTAATCTTATTAAGGGCTTTAGCCGTCTGATCAGGCACTTCAGTCTGCCTGGGTTATATCTTTTCAAGTGGTCATGTTTTTACCAGCTTGCATCTCACGTGTAGTCCGACGTGCTCTGGGTTTGTTTTGCAAAGGTAGGCATCGCTTTCTGATTGTTTTGCTGACGCAGGGCGCCCAATGCCAGTAGGTTTCTTCTCCTTTCCATAACTTGCAATTCTTAAAAAAAATGCTGAATATATTGAGTCAGGGGCCAAATCACAAGTGATGACAGAAGAATAAGAATTTCTTCAAAACCAGGGATGCACATGACTGGTACTTAAGTCTGCATTCACCTTTAAAAGAGATTCATGCGACAATCGATTATTGTAACAGCGCAAATGTGTACGTATTTAATGTGCATTTGCACTGCTATGACAAGACATTACCGTGCAGTTCAAACTTTATACCGCAAATGAAGTACGAATTAGCATGTTAATGTTAAAATGCACGGTAATTTCTTGTCACATCAGCGCAAACGTACATAAAATAAGTATGCATTTACGCTGTTACAATAATAAATTGCCACATATATCGCTTTTATACCAGTTATGTGCATCCCTGTTCATAAAGTATATTTACAGCATCATTCCAGCCCTAGAGACCTTTACGCACCCAGAAGACGTGCTTGAGCAAGGACCCGGTTCGGCCTCTTACTTCCTCGAGTGTAATGACTGTTTGTGGCCAATAGGGGGCCCCAAGCACAAATGTGTGGTTTGAGTGATGGTGAACATCACCACTGTGCTTAGGATGATGTGGGCTGAGGAATGTGGGGGACATTCTCTCTCTCCTGTCTCTCCAGAGGGAGCCACCGCAGTCCCAATGCAGCCCCAGGCCGGCGGGCCCCCGTAGGGAGGGGGAGGCGGACGGCAAGGTGTCGGGGGTGTCGGCCCCCAGCGGGGTCTCTGAGGAACGCCTGCGGGAGAAGCTGCAGCAGATGCCCCACAGCTTGCGACGGAATGGGCCACAGCGGACGCTAGACCCGTCCTGCCTGCTCACTCCTCCCAATACACCCCTCTACCCAGAGCACCCCCAGCTCAATGGCTGTAGCAGGACCCCCCCAGATATTAAGAAAGCCAATGGCTTCATTGCAAATGGCTTGGAAGGTGAGCGCTTCTAACCGCATGCCGGAACTATTGCAGTTGGGTGCCCATATGGATTAAGATTCTGTGCCCATGATCAGTAGGCTGCTGGTTCAAATCCCAGGGTCAGCAGGCTAATTTTGCCATTGGGGCCTGGAGTGAAGCCCTTAGTATCCCTAAGGGCTGGAGTAAGCCCTTAGTTTTTGGGGTTGTCTGATCCTCACTTGTGTGTCGCTTTAGATAAAAATTTCTGCTAAATAAATAAACATGACTGTTATAAGTGTAGACAAGCAGGCCATTCTGGCCCTGACCAACCTAGTAGTGCTATTGTATTCACTGTTTTCGAGGCTTGGAAAGGACCCCAGACATCAGCAGTGCTTGCATTTTTTTCCTTAGACTAAGCAACTTCACCGACTTGCACCAGCAGCACTGCTACATGTAATCCCACAAGCTCAACCCGTGTAGAAAGGTCTCTGGTTTCGGCTGGTTAAGGGCGGCGGTCGGGGGCCACATGAGCCGGTGGGGCTCGACGGGCAAGGCGACCTTCCATCTGCTTTGTCACCTCTGTTCCCATGGTGCCGTGGAAACGTGACGCTGGCATGGAGACGAAAACATGTCCTGGACACTCCCCCCCCCCCGTGCCTGCGATCATCTTTCAGCTGTAAATCAATGTCCTGTGGAAGCTAACGATCTGCGTCAGCAGTGACGGCCTTCAGTGCTCCTCCCATCCCCAGCTCTTCTTGCTGTATTAGCTTATCATCCTAATTTGTGTCACGAGATACTCGGCGTTTGAAAGATGCCGGCGAATGCGTAACAACAGCACATCTGCCTTCCATAATTCATGACTTCCTGCTTTCTGGAGTCAGAGTGGACAGCAGGTACCTTATTTAGAAGCATTCAGTTTCCCCAGCAGACGCTGTTATCCGCAGCAGTCATTACAGCTCATACAGACTGATCTTGTTAATTAGGCCATTCACATTAAGCCTTCTGCCATTACTAACACTTACAACTTCCGCATTTAAAAAGACCAAAGAGTAGGGAAAGTAAGAGCAGTTCCTCATAGCGGGTCTGAGAGTCATGAATTCGCCTTTAACTTGAAATAACATATAGCTGTCAGATACTCCACTGGGGATTTAAATCGCACAGATAGACTTGACATAATTCAACTAGCATGGAAATTTAAGAGACTTAAACACAACAGACACACACAGCTACTGTAGCTGACCTAGAAGTAAGAGATCCACAAAGACAGATGCAGAGGTAAGTTCTCATGTTAGCCTGCATCTGTGCTCCTGGAGCTCTCCATACAATCCCAAGTCCATTAGAAAACAGTGTTGAAGGCAGATTCTGCCCGCAACGGTCTTTGCCAGCAGAGAAGCCAGATAATCCTCCCTCTGCCCCCGGTTTGAGCTCCCCCCTCCTGCGCTGAACAGCCTCTCTGGCCATTGGCTGTTCAGCTACACAATCACTGTAGGTTGCATCAGCCTCCAGAACTGGCCCAGCTGAAGGTTTTGGCATCAGCTCTGCCCCCCCCGCTGCCCAGCTTCAGGGAGCAGAGGGGAATGGTGGGCTCTGGCCGTTCCCTGTCCGGGGAGGCCTTCTGCAAACCCCCCCCCCCCCCCCGGAAAGATGCTACGCTCTTACATGTACTATACAAACAGGGACCTGTGTAACTCACCTTACTCTTCAGATCGACTCACTGTATCTAATTAGAAAAGCTGTAACCACTAATTGCGGAGGAGTCTGTCCACTCAACTGAAAGCACATTGAAGAATTACATTTGACAAATAAATTACAGGACCCCCATTGTAAAAGAAAATAGCACCAGTAATCCAGTGAAATAAAATGATGCCAATTACACCTGTCTGGTTTCACAGAAAGGCCTTTACTCAAGGGCTCTGGCAGCAGTAAGCCTTCATTCATAAGTCTGCTCTACTCATTTCATTTCTGCTCATTCTCATTGTACTTATCTCTTAACCTTGACAGGTAGAGGTATCTATTCATGTACGCTGTCTTCCCACGCATTTGTGCTTCAGTATTCCTCATCGAAAGCTGAAATTCATTAATCACTAAAGCAAAGTCGGGTACATAAGGAGGTGAACGAGCAACTTGGCAGACGGCTGGGGAGGATGGGGGGCAGTGGGAGAGCAGGAGGAGAGCAGGAGGAGAGCAGGAGGAGAGCACTGGGACACCAGCACAGCCCTCTGTGTCTCTTTGTCCCCCTGCAGGCAACATGGGTGGGCTTGACTTTCCTTTCCCAGTGCCCTCCAGTCAGAGCTCAGCAGCTGACGATTTCTGTTGCGTGTTTGTAGTGGAACTGGACAAGGGACCCTTTGGCCTGGGAATGGGACTGATCGACGGACTGGTGAGTCAACGTTTTTTTTCCCCCAGTCTTCCCTGCCCTGGGCTGCTGTGAGGCCCGATAGTGCAGAGCAGTCAGGGCAGTCAGAGCAGTCAGAGCAGTCAGGGCAGTGGCACAGCAGAATAACGCTGCCACGCATTTTATGTTATGTGCTTAATGACAAGCGCCCCGAGCATTTGCCCGAACGATGGCAAGAATGATGAATTGCGACCTTTAAAATATGGGCCGACGCAGCAAGGGCAATAATCTGGGATGGAGTCAAAACAAAGTAAAGTAAACAAGGATTTCCATGTGACGTGAGGGGCTGAATGTTCACACCCCAGCAGAGAGTCTGGAAGCTGGAAAATCACTGCTAATCTCAAGTCTACAGGAAGTAAGATTCAAGGTGACACGTTTGAATTGTAATGGGGGATATCATGACGGGATCTCCAAAAATGCCCTTTTTTATTAATTCCGTTCCCCGCCATATATGACCAGTCCATGTAAGGCCTGCTTCTTGGCTTCTTCTTCATTGATGACGCCGTGTGACAGGCCAAAGGGACGATGACAATGACATCACAGCAGGCAATCCTTTCTTTGTGTCTCCGTCCAGCACACTCCACTCAATTCTCCCGGGATCTACATCCGCACGCTGATCCCAGACGGACCAGCGGCATCCGACGGGCGACTCCGAATCGGAGACCGGATCCTGGCTGTAAACGGGACCAGCCTCATTGGCGCCGACTACCAGAGGTCAGTATGATGTCAGGCCCTGAGCTCTCAGAGAGCCCTCTTCAGGTGGACTAGGGCACTGCAGGGTTTGACAGGAAGTAAGGGGGGGAAGGGAGACACATCCTCAGCCAATAGCATCTGCCTGTCCTAAGCCAGAATTCTCTAATGGCTGTCTGTACCCCCTCAGCGCGGTGGACCTGATCCGCTTGGGCGGGGGGAGGCTTCGCTTCCTCGTCGCAAAGTCAGACCTGGAGGTCTCCGAGAAAATCAGCGCCTCTTCCTGCTAAGTAACAACGGAAGCTCAGAGACTCACGGCAAGGTCACATGACTTGAATCCCCTTACCTACAGCGTTAGGTCCTGAAGTAGAATGGCCCTGAATGTTAGTGAAATTTGTGCAGGTAAAACCAAACCATCTGTGCACACCTTTCCCAATACACCATGCAAGCGGTTACTATACTCAGGAAATAACGTGATCATGTTTACGTAGGGGTGAAAAAGGGAGGCCGATTTTCAATTACGGCTTTTATTTTTTAACCAGATGACGTTACACTGTAGCTGAGCACGCTGGCCCCACGTAACTCCTGACGACCGCCGTAAAGATCAGGCCAAAAAGATCTGTCTGAAAATGCTGCAATAACACACGTCACGTTTTCGCTTAGTAACGTTTAAAGCCCATCGGGCGCATTAAGCACATTCATGTTTTTACGTGCCGACGTAGATTTACCGAAATGGCTTTTATAAACGGCTTCCCGCGCCCCACGCCTGCCTCATAAGCACTGACGTACACGTCAACCCTCCCTTCGGGGCCGACAAGTGAAGAGCTAACAGATCAAGATTGACTGATACACCGGCTGATTGGCCGTTAATCCAGATTCAAGGATGCGGCTTTTCTTATAGAGCTTCAGAAGCAGAAGATTTGTGTTCCTCCTGTACTTTGAGATCTTATGTCACATTTACTTTAATGAATGTATCACCTATAAACCATTGGCAGATACGTGTATGTCCATCTATACTGGTGCATATATGTATGTCCAGAGCTAATGGATGACTTAGAATCTGATTTGTTTCTATTGTTCTATAGAGTAAAATGTAAAGTTAATATTCAGCTTTATAATAAAGCAATAATTGTTAAATAACCTGCATTCAATGACTAAATGTGTAAAATGTGATTTTTTTGTGTGTGTGTCATGGTTTGTGTATGATCATTTTTCAGTTCTGTTCAGAATTTTTTTTTGTTTCACACGAAGTATAATAAATTTAGAAAGATTTTGTGGGATATAAAATTAAGGTAAGGAGTCGAACATCGAGGTGCCGTGTCGACAACGTGCAGAAGCACATCAGTCACCACTGGCTGTGTGTTGTTTAGTGCATTCGACGATCTGGGTGACAATCAAGCTAAATGGTTAAAACCCCAGATTATTTAGTTCCTCAGTCACGCACCACATTGCTTAACTTCACACCTCTGCTGACAGCAGTGATTCAGCTAAAATCAGGTCTCCCCATTTTAGCACACAGATGTACAACAGCAATCTCCCTGGATTGGAGAATGAGGTCAAACAGCAAAAGACCAAGAATATGTAAACCCCTATTCACTGGTTAATAATAGGCAGTGTTAAAAATCAGTTTATATAGACAGTTGGTGAATTTTGGTTTAATGCCTGTTAAGTTTCTTTCGCAAAAGGATAAGATCCTGGAGCAAGGAAACTGTCTTGCACAGATTGACCACCAGAGGGTGCTAAGAAAACCCATGTAGGCATATATGAGTTTGGCCAGTGATTCTCACCAGTCTCCAGGGTGCACGTATTTTTGGTTAATTGTGCCAGTGCGGTGAAGAGCACTGCAGCCTCCCACTTCCAGCATTGGGGATTCAATTCCCACCCAGGCTGTGTTCAGTTTCCTCTCACCGATCTCTCAAAGACGTATGGTCTGGGCAATCGGTTTCTTAATGTTATATTTTGTGTGTGCAATTCCTTTTTTTTTTAAATGTGCCCTGTGCTTCCTGGGATATGTGTCACACTAAGGGTTACCTTGTATCAGACAGGCTATAAAAGATGGAGGGACCAAAAATGAAAAATAAGCTTTACTTATTATGAGTGGCCAACAGCAGTTAGGACATAAAAGTGACATTAGCTATAAAAAGAAGCAATAAATTCAAGAAAAAGGACTTGGTTTGATTCCTTGAACTGCCCTGTTGAAAAACAAACAAAAAAAAAAATCTATAGCTATTTTACGGCAAAGGAGAAACACACATGGTCTCCTAACAGCTTAAAAAAGAAAGTGGTGCAGTGGACGTTCAAGGCATTAAATGACTCCAGCATCTGATGTTTCCAGTTCTTTGTTGACAGCGGTGTGAGCTTGTGTGACAGCAGAATTCGGCAAGGTCCCATCGCTTCAGTGTAGCCCTGACGTTTTGTTCTGCGTTCTTGTGAATGATCAAATGCTCAGCTGCATTGCGCCGCTGCTTTTTTTCCGCCAGAGGAGGTGCAGAAAATGCAGGCGAATTCGTTCTGTGACAGATTTAATCAAATAGAATGCAGAGAACATCAGCTTATCGACGAAAGGCAAATCTCTACAGGAACCGTCAGAGTGACAGGTCCATTCATCCCACATATCAGCATTTTAATGCGCACGTACACACGTACACACACACACAGACACACACACACACACACACACACACCAGCTTGGGTATATACTCCAGTCCACTGCATGTGACATTTGGGTGTCTGTTTTCATGATGATTACCAAACAAAAAGGCACAAATTCAATAAAGTAAACAGCCAATGAAATATTCAGAACATCCTGAACATGAAAAGTGCAGGGTCATCCCTATCCGATATTGATTCTTTGAAACCGGACACAAAACCTTAATTTCACTGTGTACCAACAACGGTGTATAAACAAGAGGGTAATACAAGCAGCGCTGCAGGATGCCTGCCTTCACACTTTTCTGCATTTATGTGATGCATTTTCTGCAGTGGCTGTTGCCTGGGTAACCGCAATGAAAGCACGGGGCAATCCAGGTACAAGGTGGGATGCAGTGCATCAGCCAAGACCTGTTGTCGCACGATTAACCTGCAAATAAACGCCGACAGGGCCAGTGTCAAAGCAAAAAACACTTTTCATCCAGCATGAACACTGTATTTAATCAAAAATTGGGATGAGCGTAAATCACTCATCCCCAAGCCAAATTCATCTGGAGCAATGACCAAATAAATCACAACATCCATTAATAGGTCTGGCCCAATGACACTGTCAAGAGTATATAAGTGTGCATGGTTCAGATAAGGTCCAGCTCTTAAATGAAAACGTCACCGGTAATTGAAAACAGCAACACGTAGCCTTTTGAAGACCAGAATCCTAAACGAGGGACGTCAAGTTTTGGTCTCCGTTGGAGGAGGACACTAGACGACGGACGGGCTTCCGTAGGGTTTATTCTTGCCATGCAGCTGCAAGGTGGCACCAGGCCCAGAGAAGCTTGGCATGGACAGTCTGAACAACCAACAACTGCACCAGTGGCTTGTTAAAAATCACATGTAAGGGTTTGGCACCGTCCCAGACGTGAGCAGGCTGTCAGGCCAGCTAGAGAAGATCGTGCATCGTACCTGTACAGCAAAATTCAAAACATCTCACTGCACGAGATCACCCTGCCTTGCAAGGCCCTAAAAGGGGATAATTAAGGTGGAATGTTCTGGAGGGGACCACAATACTCTTGTACCATAGGTAAGGCTGCCCTCTTTCACTGAAATGACAACCTGAAATCACACTGCAATTTCACAGAACACCAGGTCCATTCCTCCCTGCAAATGACATGAGATGTAACTATTGTTTTTTTGTGTTTGTGAAATAAGACTACTTTACAGTTTATTTCCCTTTATTTCAATGCAAGAAAAGTTTCACAAGAATGCCACCAGATCTGCAAATTGCAACTATTATACCCCATCCGGGAGGGCAGTGGCACGATTTATCAAAGGACAGCATTGAAGGTTAAGTGATATTAAATGATATCAAAGTGAAACAGGGTTAAATAAGATGAATAAGGTGAATTTCAAATGTTCTGATGACTAAGCTAACTGCAGTAACACTCAGTAAGCAGTGCTTACTTAAAAACAGTTTCAGAGGGGTGGTATAAAACATGCAAACCAGCACAATTAAGCAGTGTCAGAAAAGCAAGACTGATTACGGCTGTGCATCTCACCCCTGTAACAAACCCACATCAGACTGGCGTCCTGCATGGAAGGACTGCAGTGACACGGCTGATGCTGGAATTCAGCTATATGTAAATGCCAAACTGCCAAGGGGAATATGGTTAGCCGACATATCAATGCTGAGAACAAACGACTCACAAAAGAACCTTTTGTTGCAGATGTTGCTGGAGGTCGTTTCAGGTACGATGCCCATTTCCTATCAATCCCCGTTTCTATTAATAACAGAAGAGCTCACGTCAAAAATTTGAGCTATTAAACTGACATTCGCGAGATGTCCATTAATCATATTAAAAATAATAATAATAAAAATTAAAAGCCTGGGGCAATAAATAAAAACATCACTAAAATGTTAAAGAACAAGATTTATATTCAGAGTTGAGGTTTGACACATGAAGAACTTCCCCTTGAACAAGCATTTTATTAATCATTTTGCTGTCTCACTGTTACACTTTTCTGTCCTCATTAGTTGACTCCATTAGTAGTTTTGATATTTGTTCTTTTCAGTGGCATCATTACCCAGTTTTTGGAGAAGAAAAAAAAATCTTAATGACATTAAAGAAAAAGTTTAAGTTTATATAACATCAATTACTATGTAAAGATATCTGAATTCCATAACACTGGCTACAAATGGGATATTTTTTTTTCCAGAAAAATAATAGTCATCTGCTCCATTTTTACTGGGTCGATATCTGAAATAATCTCTGAAAGCATCCAAGGAAATATTAATCTGCAAGAAAGGTCTTGCAAAGAGGGTTAGAGCCACAAACTGAATGGAGTCAATGCTGCAATCAGATCACATCTTATCAGGCGGCATAAGAGAAGCTCTGCAGCTCCCGTCAATGACCATCCCTAGCAGTAATAACCTTTTAAATGTGAACATTCCCTAGAAGTATAAAGCAGTATAATCATCATACATATCTCATGCTGTCTGTACAACAAGTGAATTAAGCAAATAAATCCTTTACTTTCCAATGAAAACAAGGACGACAAGTTTACAGCGGAGTCTCTTGAAAGAACATTCTCTGTATTATATATAGTGTCTGCAAATAACAGAAACAAGGGCTCGAGCTTACATACCAAAGGCTTGCATGAGCAGGGTGGTTAAACCTTATCAACCCAACAACCATCTGCTGGTAATTAATCCAGTTAAACCAGACATCTTAAATTTATAAGGGCAGTACATTCAATTTTCATATTACTCTGAGCCAAACACACAAACAACATTATTGCTAACAAAAATATACGTGATGCAGACAAGAAACTTTTATATTACAACTTTTACTACTAAATTATATTCAAATTGAAATCCAACTAGCAAGTGATAAACACCAAGTTCCATCTGTAAATAAAAATGATTTCAACTTTATTTGCTACTGTTTTAACATTTATACACTCAAAGACAGAATATTCTGAGAATTAATGAAATTCAAACATGTGCTCTCACTTCTTTAAAAATAAAAAGTCAGTATAAATTTAGAAACAGAGTCAGACACATCAATACATTCGTAGCACGACCCCTTACGACATGATGAGGTGCAACAGATTCAAAAGGTGGCGGAATGATCTGGACTCATCACGTTGCGAAGAGACACCTTTGAAAAGCCAGAGTGATACCAGCAGAAAGGAGCAAAAATGAGGGAAATGAATCTAAGTCACAATCATCTCTGTGTGGTCAGCTACCAGAGGCACAAACATAGGAAGTTTAGCCCAGCGCGAGACCAGAATGTGATACGGACACAGTGGAGGTCAGCCTGAGACGGGACCATTCACAGAGGGTAAGAGCTTGTGACATGTGTTATGGTGCTGAATTACTGTAACACAAGATTTGCATTATTTTAGTGAATCAAAACCGCTTAAGACATATGCTGCATGTCTTGTGAATGCACTATTAAAAATGTTATATGTATTACAAATACTTATCTTAAAGGACTAGTCTTTCTCAGTGACAACAGGTCTAAATAATATCGATTCAACTTAATAAAGAGTTAGAGCGGACAGACATATTACAGTGCAAGTTTTATTTTTTTTAATTTTGGGGGGAAAATCTGGTTCATAAAATATGTCCTTTACTTGACATCTCTTACTATTAAAAAAGGTAATTTATTTCCCTAAGTCCCAAAATATTCTGTAAAATATGGTTTGCACTAGTTTATATAAACGATTATTACATTCATTGTTAAATTAGTGACTTAAGGCACTTCAGCTGAAGAACATCTCTTCTGTGGGAGTTACCTGACATATATATTTGTGTTCAACATACATTCCACTTGTTCTCAGACATCTCTACACTGATTGCAGGGTCTCCTTTTCACGGACGCATTACTCATTAATGCGGACATGTCTTGAACGAAAAAAAAAAGCGCGAGGAAAGTGCCGTTATACAGAACTAGGCTATAATCTTTAAAATTTCTCTATGTTTTACGGCCTGGGAAAATGATTTACTGCTTTCAGTTGTAATTCATCTCTTCAGATTACCACTATGGTCAAAACATGGCAGTGTTGTTCATATATTTATTACAAAATACATCCATAAATCTGGCTCAGTTTCAAATCACCCAATAGTTGTATCCTTATTCAATGATGAGACAGGACTTCCTCAGTGAGAAGACATTTGTTTTGCCCAAACAAAGGAGTTTTATCAAAGCTAAATGGTCAGGCCACCTTTAGGTCATTATGGAAGATTTTAATGAGGCCAATGACCAGCCTACTGATTAGGCTTAGGCTTAGCTATCCTGAATGCTTACTGTACAGTCTGAAAGATGCCACACTATGTCAAAAAAGGCAAAAAAACAAACAAAAAAAACCCTTAACCAGGCCCAGAACCAAGCCTGTTATAGCTGAAAAGGCCAAACCTACATGTGGAGAAGCAGCCTGAGACTTTTCCAGTTGAAACTTTTCTTTGAAACACAAACTATTTCTTGTAATAACTGATCTTGTGGTGCTGCTGCAGCAACCAGCTGAATGTTAAACCAAAGAGATACAAGGCATAGCCTCTACGTTCCCTTTCAATGCACTCAAAGTCCAACGATATTTGAAAAAGTTACTTGTATTCATCAGTAGTGACTAACTCATAAGAGCTATCGGTGCTCTGGGAAAACCAAACATGGCGCAAGAATTAGTACCTGGCCCGAACGTGTCGAACAGTGACGTGTGTGATGAAAAGCAACAGTATGAGTACAGTGATGACCAAACTTCTTCAACTTGAAGAATGTCTGAGACAACCATTTCCCAGAAGTCCATGGGTATCAGCCAGACCAACATGTTAATGGACAGGCAGGCCTGCATAAAGCTACCTGACAATTTATCATCTTCCCAGTATCGAGGTGACAGTGGAGAACCAGGAGTACTGAGGCAACTGCTGTACGAAAGCCACAAGTTTGAAAATGTAGAATTTATGTTTTTGTTATTATAAAGTGACCAGTTCAAGAGTCTAACCTGCAAACAAATGACAGGGCGGCCCACCTGACATATAGTTTAACTGGAGATTTGCATTTTTATACAGCTTACTAGCCAGATATCGTGATCTTCCTGGCAGCCGGCTAACTAACCAGATACCACAATCTCTCTGGCACTTAGGTAACTATTCAGCATAAAAGCCAAGGACCATAATGTTGAACGTGGGTCGCTCCTTCAAAAGGAGGATCTGAGGCCTACTGCAGCCCAGCCTCTCCGCGATTGATCATAAATTCCGCTGGGTGTGTTGTTCTTCAGTGTGGACAGAACTGCAAAAGGCTGTCTGAAACCAAGCTATCAAAAAAAGCCCTTTACATTCAACCGAGGTTAAATCGCAAACTGTGGTGTTAAAAATACATTTTAATCTTTTAATCATATGATAATGCTCTATAATAGCAAAATACTTTTTATTTTTGTATCATATAGCTTCCATTTCAGAAAAAAAGCAGCTTTTTAATCACATCTGTAACAATCCACTTTTTAGAAAGCTAATAAAGTATTCGTGAAAAAACAAGACTTTATTTTTACGAAATTGAGACTTTAAGATACCACTGGGTTCTCTTCTCAATGCCTAATGCTTCATGTAGGAGACTAAATATATCTGTGGATAAAAATAATGTAAGTTTTGGTCCCACCCAGCTGGTAACAACGCTACAAGGGAACCTGGAATCAACAATTAGTGCTGTAAATTTCAACAAAATATAAGTATCGTCTTCCTCTCTCTGTATTAAGGATGTCTTTCCATTAAAATGGCAATCAAAATGGAGGGCAACACTTCCAAAGATTAACAGATATAGTCACTTCAAGGAGAAATATCAGTTTCGAGCTGCTCTTTACTTTACGCTAAGTTCACAATAGGATGCACTTCTCTACGCTGTTTGGCACGTTGGGTTTAGGATACTCTGAAACACACTGGAAAAACCAAGTCCTCCAGCATGTATCTTTTGCTGCTGCCGTTACCGCACACTGCCTTATTCCCCGGCGTCCTGGGGCGTCGCTGCTACAATAACGGCCTGAGGGACTGGAGCAGTGCTTTCCTCCTCCCGCTTCGGCCGCTTGGCCTCGGGCTCGCCGGGGGCCGGGGTTGGCTTCTCGGCCTCGACGCTGGCCGGTCTGTTCACCACAACTGGGGAGGAGCTGGACGCCTGGGCTGCCAAGATCTGCAGAGGACTGTTGATGGCTAGAAACACAGAAGAAGATGAAATATTAAATATTAGCGGTCAGTTTTCTTTCCAGTACACACAGATGGCCAAACAAATAAAAGGAGGACTGAGAAGGTGTATTGGTACCGTAGATGGAGCTGGAGATGCTGGTGACCGGGAGAGCGTGCTTCCCGTTCTGTGTGACGGGCCGGACGGGCAGCTGGTGCTGGCCCAGGCAGATGGGAGCCTGTTGGACCACAGTGAAGGTCGGCTGGTTGCCGCTCACTGCCTGGATGACGCGGCTGGGCGCAGACACTGGTGCGTAGCTCACGGCCTGTTGCTCACCCATAGGGCCTGTGGGGGTAAACGACAACGGCCCAGCGTGACCTTTGTCACGTCTCGTCACTCAGTTGGCTCTTGAACTTTGCTCAAGCGCTCATGTTTACTGACTCTGGACTCAAAGGATTATGGGTTAGGGCCAAAAGAAAACCCAGAAATGATCCCCATCTCCTTTAAGACATAAGTGGGGTGTGTCAGTAATAAAGTACCTTGATTGTAGGCCTCCCCCACTGTCTCTTTGCTCCCGGGCGGCTTGGATTGGCCTAGGATGTAACCGTTAGAGGATCCGGCGGAGGTGGTCACGACCCGCACCATAGTGACGGCCGGCGTCTGTTGCACCACCTGGAGAGCGTGACCCGGGGGGTTAAGGGACACCGGCGTGTAGGTCAGCGGCTTGGCTGTCATGACGGCGGGCTGGGGGGGCACCGCGACGATGACCGGCTGGGAGCTGACCGGAGAACCTGAGCAGGACAGAGCAGGCGGGGCGGAATATGCTCAGTGTGTGAATGGGGTAGGATGTGAGGATCCAGCAGGAAATAGCCCAGTTCCTGGTAAAAGAAGTGGGACATCAGGCTGAATCTTTCGGGCAGATTCGCGACTTACCCGGAGCACTCTGCGTGTAGCGGTACTCAGGCACGGAGGCCAGCTTGGAGCCAAAGTCATGATCATGGGGGATGGGGGACCCTTCCCTCGATAGGCACTCTGGGGTCTGTAGGTCACTCGAATGGGGGGAGAGAAGGCCAGGGTGCGTCGGAGAGGCAGGGGCGCTCCTGTGTCCCAGGGGTGACATGTCGGTTCAGTGGTGAATAACAGATGGGGTCACAACACACACACGTGTATACAAACAGGCACAAGAGAAAGCAGGACGAAAGCAGCGGTAATGGGCTCAGACGCAGTGTCACCGGTGGGGCAGACGGACATAATCCACCCAGTTCAATTCTTTTCTTAGACTTTGTATTTTAATTAGGCAGAGAATGGGGACGTTGACTTTGGTCAGGTGACACACTTACTTCGTGCTGGCCGGCGATTTTATGGCAAAGGAGGAGAGAGCTAAGGAGGTTGACTTCAGGTTCTTCTGACAATCACGACAGTTTTAGCCTTTATATCCTCTATTCTACGACGAGGAACAAATCAACAGCGCCCCCTACCTGGAGGACAGGGGGCCGAACGGAGCGCGGAAACATGACACGCCTCGTTGCCGTCGCTTGCGGAAGGCCTGCTCCACCAGCTTGGGCTCCGATGAGGGGTCGATCCTCCAGAAAGAACCCTTTCCCGGCTCCTCCTGGGATCGGGGCACTTTGATGAAGTAGCGGTTCAGGGACAGGTTGTGGCGGATGGAGTTCTGCCACAAGGGGGAGCCAAACACCACATAAAACGGGCAGGTTAGCATACTACCGGCAGCTCGTAGAAACGACCTTGGGACAGCTTCCGATATGGCTTCAGGCGGCTGGTGAGAAATGTGCGAAGCTCACCTGCCAGCCCTTGTCTGCGGTTCTGTAGTAAGGATAGTGTTTGGTGATATGGGCGTATATGCCGCTGAGGGTGAGCTGCCGGTCCAGCGCTGAAGAAATAGCCTGGACGATGAGCTGTGCGTACGAGTATGGAGGCTTGGACTCATCCTGGGGGCAAACGGACATCGTCAGGGCAGCACACGGGAAATACACATGCTGTATATCACACGCCGGACCATTCCTGCAGGCTAATGTCATAAATGCTATACCTATTGTTGGTATGTCTGGTAACAGAAGGCAAAGGACTTTATATTTATATGAATAATTAGTCAAATGAGAGAAAAGAAAAAAAAAAACTGAATGCTCATAAAATCAGGAGAGGTCCACTGCGCCCCCTTGTGACATTACACTACCATTACATGAAGAGTAAACTCAATCAATTCCATTAATCAGTGACAGTGTAAGAAAGGTAATCTAAGACAAAGCAGCAAACGGGGAGAGAGAAAGAAAAAAGTAATTGTGAACAACCAAAATTAGGGAGGGTCACCTTGGGGCTGTCACCTTCTGAGCTGTCAGCCTGCTGCTCTGATACGGCCTTCGCTGCGAATTCGGCCGCCAGCTGCAGGTCTGAGGTAATGTTGCGGCCGAATCGGTAGCCCGATGACCCGGCCCCACGCGGGCTCGCGGGACAGGAGTTAGGGACACTACCAGGAGAAAGACACAGCAGATGAATAACACAAATTGTTATATCACCTCCAAGCAATTTCTACCTGCTTCAGAAACATTTCACTGACATTTTCTGTACAGTAATGAGATGGATGAAGGCTTATCCACATTTTATTTACATACATAACCATTTAGCCAGTGGTTCTTGGTCATAAACAGACAGCCTAACACTGTCCTGTGGAGCTCTCTAGTAGCATGATTCATGGTCCCCTTCGATGACAGAAAGCCATCCAGGTCCTGATGCATGTCTGTATGAGCTTCACACTGTGAAATAGAAGTTCTTGGTCTGGAACGAGCATCCATGTTCTTTTGAAGTGGAACGCCAGCCTTGTCCAAGGCGTACAGAACTGCAGATCCCCAGATGATTCCTTGGATTTTGTGCAACTTTTTGAATGATTGTATGTATAGTTCTCTGCGGTTCTTTGGCAGGCTGAGCGCCATAGGGAATGTTCATTAAAAGGTTCCCCCACTTGGACAACGTTACTCTCATAGTGGCTCACTGGAGCCTGGAAGTACCAGGGGTGGCTGTAACTTTACACTTCATCCACAGGTGATCAGGCACAATGCGGTTCTGTGCTCCGGTAACCTCACTCCCATGATAATGACCAAAGTTAGACTGATTTATACTGGGCAGGACTGGCCCAAATCAAAGCCAAACTATGTGCAAAATACACCTGCAAAACATTTAACCTTATTTATCCATTTTCAAGTTAAAGTATAAACAGCTGGATGAGTCATGTCTGTTGAGGTCAATTCATTTTCCATGACCTCTATTCCGATGCAGGTATGCGTATTTTATTCAATACTTATTAAACATCTTTAAATTTCAACATATGATGAAGTGTTCTTTCAAAGTAAAATATCAAAACCGAAAATCTATGACTTAAATACTAGTATAACCAACCTCTGACAATGTGCCAATAGTCTCTGCTATACAGAACCATCATCATATAAACAAATATAAACAGTTTAAATATTTGAAAATTATACATTTCAATGAGACATCAATTTTAATCCTTCTACTTCACATCGTATGATTATGATAATAGCGATCAACCAAAAGGCAATATTCTGCCCTATAAGTAATCCAAAAATATGAATGTAACTTTCTTCAAAAGCACTTTAATTCTACATTATGGTACAACCTTATTTCTGTAGATTAATACACTTGGGAGTGAACCATGTTAACCGCTAGGCAGGCTGGTGAAAATGCCCCTTGGAGAGCGTGATATCCCATGTAGGCCGAGTTACCTTGTAACAGTGTCACCAGCTTGTGCAATCTTGCTCTTTGCAGTCAAGAGGATTTCTATCCGCCGACAGATCTGTCTCTCTCAAGACGCTGCACACTTCAGAAAAAACGTCACTAAGAAACATGATGGCGCTTTTGGAATTCCCTCCTTGTTGATGACTGGTTAACGGCAGAAGACTCGTTTTTTTGCGGTCCTGGTAACTTCTGAGGTTCTCTGTAGCGTCTAACCGTTTTCCGTCATTTCAGCGCCGTGCCTAGTCTACTAGGCGGAGCAACAAGCTAAAGCCTAAGACCAATAAATTAGCAAAAAAAACTATCCAAACGATACCTCAGACAGCTATAGCCCTAACAATTTATTAATCCACAGAAAGGTTTCGCTATATTTGTTTTCCTAAAGACTCCACCGCAAACTATATTGCCAAAAGTATTGGGACACCCCTCTAAATCATTCAATTCAGGTGTTCCCATCACTTCCATAGCCACAGGTGTATAAAATCAAGCAGCTAGGCATGCAGACTGCTTCTACAAACATTTGCGAAAGAAAGGGTCACTCTCAGGAGCTCAGTGAATTCAAGCGTGGCACCGTGATGGGACGCCACCTGTGCAATAAGTCCATTCATGAAATTTCCTCGCTACTAAATATTCCACAGATAACTGTTAATGGTATTATAACAAAGTGGAAGCAACTGGGAACAACAGCAACTCAGCCAGGAAGTGGTAGGCCACAGAGTGGGGACAACACAGGCTGAGGCACACAGTGTGCAGAAGTCAGCAACTGTCTGTAGAGTCAATAGCTACAGACCTCCAAACATCATGGGGCCTTCAGATTAGCTGAAGAACAGTGCATAGAGAACTTCATGGAATGGGTTTCCATGGCCGAGCAGCTGCATCCAAGCCTTACATCACCAAGTGCAATGCAAAGCGTTAGATACAGTGGTGTAAAGCACATCACCACTGGACTCTAGAGCAGTGCAAGATGTGTTCTCCGGAGTGACGAATCACGCTTCTCTGTCTGGCAATCTGATGGACGACTCTGGGTTTGGCAGTTGCCAGGAGAACAGTCCTTTGCCTGACTGCATTGTGCCAAGTGTAAAGTTTACTGGAGGGGGGATTATGGTGTGGGCTTGTTTTTCAGGGGTTGGGATTGGCCCCTTAGTTCCAGTGAAATGAGCTCTTAATGCTGCAGCATTTGGAGCCATTTTGGACAATTTCATGCTCCCAACTTCGTGGGAACAGTTTGGGGACGGCCCCTTCCTGTTCCAACATGACTGCACACCAGTGCAGAAAGCAAGGTCCATAAGGACATGGATGAATGAATCTGGTGTGGAGGAACTTGACTGGCCTGCACAGAGCCCTGACCTCAACCCGATAGAACACCTTTGGGATGAATTAGAGCGGAGACTGCGAGCCAGGCCTTCTAGTCCAACATCAGTGCCTGACCTCAAAAATGCTCTCCTGGAAGAATGGTCAAAAATCCCATAAACACACTCATACACCTTGCGGACAGCCTTCCTAGAAGAGCTGAAGCTGTTATAGCTGCAAAGGGTGGGCCAACTCCGTATTAAAGCCTAGGTATTAAGAGTATGATGTCATTGAAGTTCATGTGTGTGTAAAGGCAGGTGTCCCAATACCTTTGGCAATATATTGTATCTACTGTCATGTTCTCCACACAGAATGTGCACCTGAATCTACCATGATGTTGAGGTTCTATGTTAAAATCCGCTGCTGCATGTTTTGGTGTTGATAGAGCAGCCGTGATTTCTTTCACAAGGACTCGTTCCAGCCCAGGGACGTTGGCAGCCATAAGATTCCCTGCATTACCATGAAAATATAAAATCGCAGGAAGTGAGGACCAGTCTCGACAGGGACTGTTAACTTCAGAGCAAGACTGTCATCAGGAGGCGTTCCTAGAAAACTTGACATTTCTTCTAAAAGCACAGATGTCACCAGCCAGTGCATTCAAGCAGCTCTCTCAATGAGTGCTTGCTGACAGGAGGTGGTAAGCTGGGCTTTCAGCACTAACGTCTTCTCACCAAAGTGCTTTTATTCGTGGGTGAAGGCAGGTCCTCTAGGGATGTGGTGATCCGAGCTAAAAGCAATTTATTAGCTGCCGAAAGCCTTCACAGTTGACCACATTCATTAGCATTATGTAATTAAAAAAAATATTTTGCATAATTTTCACACTTTCTCCTTGTTATGCTTCTGTTTTGCTGACACATCACCATGTCCACCCCTTCCATTTATTTCAGATCAAAATGGCCCCACATCAAACATGGTTTTGTCTGAAGTGAGACCACACCATTGCAAACTGCTGCACTGCTCCCACCGTGATCTTTTTCATACACGGCGCCCTCTTGTGTTCATTACATCAGTGTAACTATGGGCAAAGGCACAAGACAGGGAACATGCAAACTCCACACGGAACCCTAGCAGGTCCCAGCGGCGTGAGGCGACAGTGCAAACCACTGCACCACTGCACCACCCCCACACTTTAGCTCACAATAGGTCATATTTGACACAACAAACATAGCAACAATTTAAACCACTTACCTGATAAGCGTGGTTATGTAAAATTCAGATTAAAAGTTATTCCAACAATATCTACAAATTACCAACAGCAGTTCAAATATACAGGAAGAGATCTTAAGATCACTGAAAGGCATCTACATATGATAAATTTCTACCATATCTAAATCCAATGAGCATTTAAAAGGTTCTAGAGATATTATCCTACCCACATACATACATAAATAATTATTTCAGCAAAATACAAATTTAAAACGGTTTGTCATGTTAAATGTACACACCCATACACATACTGCTTATTAGCCACTAGATGGCGGTAAGACTACACTTACAAGTCACGCTTGGGCAGAATTGTTGTAAACAGTTAATATGCATCTTAAGTGCAAGTCTGTAAGCAGACAAGCTCAGGTGGTAACTTCATATACTACGTGACTTTTTCCAACACACCAATGAGACAGCAACGCTGGTGCAGAACAGGCCCACAATGGACCAGCACACGCATTTGGCCCTTGTGCTGTCTCCAGCGGATCACCCAGTAAAGTGACTCCAGAGCGGAGCGGACAGCGGCGGCAGGGGCCCTAATCGGGGCGAGGCGCACAGCCAGCGCATGGTCAAAGTGCGAGCCTGAGGTAGCACTTTCAGAGTAGCGTAAAAACACCACCCAGTTCTAAGTGGATCAGACAAGCACAGCTAAGGTGCGACGGCCTCATTACCCACGTCAGAACCTATGATGAGAACCTCTTAATGAAGAATTAGTCGATCATCATATATAGAAAAATATTTACAGTAGACATTATCTTTCTGCTTATATCAACATAATACCAGTATAACCCAATATCACATATTACATTTAAAGACACATGTCGTACAGGTCTTCGCAAACCACTGTTTGAATCGTAACAGTCCGCAACACATTTTTATGAAAAATTCAAATAGCATTTAAAAAAAATAAATCTTGGCCGAACTTAATAAAACCCGATATCTACCCACCTAACAGACAGCTGGAAATACACACAAACATCTTTCACGGTACCAGTCATAATTTTCTGTTCATTATTTATCACTGTTACTGTGTTCATTAACATTAAGTAGAATATTTCTGCTGCACTGAAATATACATTTTTCAGACACTTTAACTCCTGCGGGAATGACCGGCTCTTTACATTGGGTGTCGGGCCAAAACAATATGAAGAGCAGATTTATAGATTTCAAAATGCTGAACTTTCAATCCATGCAATGTGTGGAACAAACAGCCCCAAAATAAAGGTGCGGGTCCAGCACGTCCTGCCGGGAAGAACAACAGCTTTTGTTCCACAGCAGAAATAGCCACAACAAGAGGCCCCCCCTTCAAAGGGGTCACGTGACCATCGAAGCTCCACCCACTACAACTGTCACTGGTTCTGCCCTGCCAACACCCTGTCTGACAAAATGAAAACAATCACAAACAAAGCGTCCTCCTAGTCCCCGCACAGAGGAGGACGGCCCTGCCTGACTGAATGGGGTATACAAAGAAAACACTGGTATGCAGGCACTGTTTTGGGCGTGAGAGCAGGGTGCTGGAGCCTGTCCAAGAAATGGAGGGAGAGGCAGTGAGGAAAGCTCCGAAAAGGAAACTGGCTGCTAGATACACAAGTGCTGCACTCCCCCCGTCAGCCAATCAGCAGAGGGCAAACTAAACATATGCCATATATGGAATCTGTACACACATGCACTCATTAAGGGCCGCATGGGAGGAGAGGTGCCACAGGGGGCAGGATTCTAGGAAAAGTAAGAGCACATGCTGGAAGGAGGGAGACCGGGGGAAAACCTGGGAGACAGGCAGACGGAGCAAGAGGCAGAATGGAAGGGGCGCCTTGCACAAAACCTTAATGAATGCATTAGAACACAGTCAAACGTGTATTACGTAAGAATGTGCGTCTCTTACATAACACATTATGCAGAAACCTTTGATAGAATGACACAAATTCTTAGAATAATGACAAGTGCATAGTATTAAAATTTTATATTTAGAGATCTGAAATACATCTTCACACATTTTTAATCAACCTGCACTGATACATATATAAAGAGTAACTCAGCATTTCTGTCCTGTCATACAACAGAACATAAAGTATGGATTATCTGGGAAAAACCAGACACCTCAAAGATAGGAAATATATTGAAATAAACTTCAAAACAAATTTAATTGAAACGCAACATATTACGCCATTATTTTGTAATAATTGTTTCACTTAATCCTTTTAAAATTACTTGAATGAATCACATGCTTTATAATCATGAATCAAGTATAAATATAATCAAGTGTTTAAAGCTAAAACGCTGGATACTTACTGAGTGGTCAGAAAAAACAGCTCATTTTAGCCAAAGCTCACAAAAATTCCTTATTTACTGTCTACCTGAACCAGGAAGCCTGATCCAACCAGCTGTTACTGCCCACATCTCTGAAGAACAAACTGACCAGTAACTGTAATCTAAAATGGAATTAAGTGAGCATAGTTTAGCATTTTTATGTACTGCGTATGTATCAAAAGATTTGTAAATAGCTAATGTCTGCACAGACTGATTTACAAAAATGAAGAGCAACCATCAGGTCAAAGGCCAGTGTGGGTTGTGCTTCATTTCTCAGAAGTACTTTGGGATACAGATTAAGAACATTGGGAGAGATCAGAGATAAGCAGCATAACAAGGGCAAGATGTGTGAGGGGGGCCAAAAAGAGATACATGGGTGTTCAGCCTGGGCTATTCAAGAGGGGGTGTCCTAGAATAAGCAAACGATGCCCCCACATCGGCTGCTTAGTTCTTAGTTACTTATGTGATCTCCAAGTTTTAAGGCTGAAAAGCCCCTTTGTAGCCAATCCTTACCGAAACAAACAAAAAAAACCCTGACCTTCATATATCAAAACAAACACTCGCCAATTTCCACTGACATTCTTCCCAATGTTGCAATATCCTAAACAATTATAAAAATGCTGCCTCATCACTCTTCATTCTTAAGTGGCAAAACTCTGCAGGTTCATCAGTGCAGGGATGAGGATTAAAACCCACATTGCATCAAGACCCTGACAAACTCTGTCACGATCTTAAGATGACCTGCAACATCCTTAAAGACCATGTAGTATTTCAGTAGCAACCAGCCACCAACATATTCTGAATAGATTTTTAGGGCTCACACACACACACACACACACACAGACACACGCACACAGACACACAGACACACACCAAAGACCTATCATCTGTTATTTCTGTCACCTTTAACAAGCGTCATGATCTCCGCACACCAAAAGACGAGTAGCCCGACAAACTTGGGTCTGCGGTTTCCCCGAGGTCCTCCTGGGGAGCTTTACAGCAGTTTGCCCCGGGGAGCCCCAACACGAAAAACCGGCTCATGGTGCAAAAAGAGACATCACTGCCACGACAGTATGCGCAGCTGCATTAATGCACCAAGCCTCCCGCGATGGCGCATTAATGAGCCGGACGGACTAACGGCCACTAAGCAAAGCTGAGCGACTCGAAAGGGACAGACCTGATAGTTCCTGTTGGAGAGGCCAGTGGACTCATGAGGCTCCTGAAGTCATTGTCAGGAATGTTGATTTTCAGTGGGGACATCTGGGGACAGAGCGGCCTGACCGGGGACAGGGACACGATCTCCTTCACTGCTTCCTGGTGGCACAACGCCGTGAACTGGATTTTTATGATTGTGCTAGGAAACCGGAATGTGCACCTGAAATTTAAGAAAAATTGAAGAAAATTTAAGAAAACCGCAAAATACATGGGAAATTCTGGCCTTATGGATGTGACATGTGACATTTAAACTCATACTGGCAAACAAAATGCCTCCAAGCATGGACAAGCTTAGTACAATGATTTAATTTGCATTGTTCCATGTAACCTCCTGGGTTGAACAGTCAAATCCTAAAAATTCATATATTAATTGACAAATTAGAAATGCACAGCATTTTATCAGGTTAACGGATGAGATCAAACAAACCTTTGCATGAAACTTCCAATATACATTAACCAAGCTGCAATGTTTACTCACATCAGCGAAACAGCATTACATTAAAAGCAGGTCATTTTCATGTCGAGAATATCAAAACTCAAAAGCAAATTTACTTCATATAAAACTGCAAAAAATCACAGATTCTTAATTATAACTCCAGTTATAGTTGTTTTAACGTGCAAACAGCCAAATGACAGCAAATCACACAGATGCAGACAATCGGTATGTTCGGTTTCACATAGCAGAGCTTGACTGCCTACAGGATTTCTTCCAAACAATCACCATTTAAAATGAAGCAACGCTTAAGCGAATGAAGACATTCTTCACTCAATTGCTCAATGTTTGTTTAAAAAGCATTACTTAATACAACTGAATTGAAACACAGGATGCACCTTGCTGGTGGGGAAGGACTAACTTAATGCCTTCTGGAGAGTGGACCCTTCATAAAGGAGTTTTATCGAGCCAACTTCCAGCTGCTGATCCTGGTCATGGGGGTCTAAAGCATCTCAGACAAGGCTTGGGTACAACCTGAACAGGATGCCAGTCCGTCGCAGGACAAACTTAGAGATGCCAGTGATTGCATGTCACTGTACAGTGAGAGAAAGCCAGAGTGCATGTTGGTGCACAGAAAGAACATGTGAACAACCATGGTGGTGTGAGGTAACAGAGCTCCAGATGCTTTTCTGGAAGAAATACTTTTTTTTGTAAAGGCACTAACAAAAAAAAAAAGGTTGTGTCAGACCTGTGCAAATGTCGACCCACAGAGCTGTTGTTACTGGCCCGTGTGATCGATTAAAAAAAAGAGTCTGTGACGATGAACAGATTTTTATTCACAAATAATTGTTTATTATTAATTCAAAGAAGTAAGTTAAACACACAAAAAAAATCACAGATTCTCTTGACTTCTAATGACAGATTTGATGCTTTCCAAAAAGGAAAAGCAAAATCTTACAAATAGAGTTTGTAGATATTGTAGCTTTTGTGGGACAGGAAAATAGTCACTAAAACCGGGCCCCAACTCACATGGTGAAGTTTGGATGTGGCCCATCAAAAAAAATTATTGACCAGGCCTGTATTCACACACCGACTTGAAAAGAATTAAACATTTCTTTTTTTTTCTCCCAAGTAAAGGGATCTGTTCTAGATTGTGTGAATAAGCATTAACTTCTGTATCTGAACCGTTTTGCTTTTAGTTGTCTTTAAGCAAACACTGCTAACCCAAAATGCACCACAGACTATACCAGAAGAATTTTGGCATGTAAATGCAATATATATATGTGTGTGTGTATGTTCAGAAGCTTGCTGGTTTGAATCCCGTGAATGCCATGAGTGATCCTACTCCATTGGGACTTTGAGAAAGACCCTGAACCTGCAACTGCATCTTCCTGGGTATGATGTTAACCTACATCCAGCCCTGCAAGGAGGTTCTCCAACTTACAGGGAAAGTTGGGGGTTGGTGGCAGAATTGGTGCTTCAGTCACTTGAAAAATCTCACACTGCTCCATTCGGACTAGTGTGGTGCTGAGGTGCCGCATGACTGCGCTCAGGTTCTCGTCCCTGAGGTGGTTCATCATGTGGTGGGTGCAGTAAAGCATTATATCAACTGGTGCTCCTTACCCAAGTGTTAGTTACGTACTGATGCCATGTTTGTTTATCATTAATCAATCATAATAGTTCATGTACTTCATGCAGTTACTATACTACTATCTGTTCATGTACTTGAGTAGTAACTGAGTTACTTAGTTACTTGTCTCCTCATGTAGAGTATTACCAAGTATATCATCCTTGTGAAAAGTGTAAACCACATTATAAATAAGTACACCGCTGCACAAATAAGTACCTTAACACACACAAAACTGAAAGAGAGACTTCTCCTTTATAGACAGGAAAAATCAAACCGATTCTTTTCCTTAATCTAACAGTAACTGGTAGTAGTGGATCGTCATATTAGAAACACAAAATGTCTCTAAGATGGTACTTATCCATAGTTCCCAAAAATTACTCAGCCCATCCACCCCTCCCACCAGCAGCAAGCCAGGCTGGCTCCCCCAGGGAATGTTTACACATGCAGGCGAGAGAGAGCCAAACTGCAGCAGTCAGTGCGACCAGAGCGAACAGAGAGCCCGGCCCAAACGCAAACAATCAGGGAGACGGCGAACTCTTTCCATACAGACCTTTATTAGAGACATCCCATTGCCAGGAGGAGAAACAAGCCTCTCAGACTGTGTATGCCAGAAATACACTGAAGCAATGCAAGAACTGGACATGCATCAAGGCAAGGCAACTAACAGTTAGGCTGGTTATCCTGAGAGTTTTTGCATTATATCAATATCTAAAATGTCTTGCAAGCATTTCACTTGACAGACAAAAAGGGAAGTGATAGACAAAACAGAAAAGTTTACAAACTTGAAAAGACCGTTTTTTTTTTATAATAACATTACAAAGACATATTTGTATAAGTAGAATAAAAATGTGCTACAATTGTTTCTGTATGGGTGCAAAAACTAAATAATCCAACAACTGCCGAGATCCTCTGGAAGAGTATAAGTTCCTAGATTAAGGGAAAGACAACAGAAATTTGAGTTTAATACACTGTAGACGTTATTTTTTTAAACCATACCAATGAATCATTAAATGTGTTTACGGTACATAATGACACCCGGCGAGACCAAACAGGCATTCAGTTTAACATACAAACCACACTATCACTCCACACACTGTGGTTGCTCCTACGAAAACATGCGTCAGTTAAAATATAGAAACACTGACAGTTGCTTGGTAATACTCTGTAGTTACAGTATTACATGCAGGCAAACAGATCCCGAGAAATGAGTGACGAGGATTTCCAGAACCGAGCCCTGCTGATATTCACAGGCATGTTTCCTGTAGAGTAGGGTGTCATCATCTATAGGAAGACAACAGTCCCAGCAGGTAATAAATGCTGCATTATAAGCAGCAGCTAATTGTTTAGGATAATATTACTTCACTTCATTGCAAAGACACTCAGGGACCATAGAAACATACCAGACCAGAACTTTCCACTGACTGAATCAGTCCTCTGTAGAATTCTCTGGATTATGGTCACACATATATAAATCACAAACAGACACCAGGCCAGATCAATCCCCTCCACTGCACCATTTCCTGAGTATCATAGCTAGATACATGCTGTCAGGTTTTTAAAAAAATGATGTACAGAGATCTATTTATAAAGCCCGGCTCAGTAAACTTCCCTCCAAATTCAGCGATGTCTTCTCGCCATTTTTTATTGTCTGGCACATTTTAGGCGGCCCCTCGCATCTGCGAATCACACGCCGTTCGTCACCGGAGACTCCAGCAAACTTACACTGGCAATTAAACCCAGTTAAACGTTCACTGGGCTTCCACGTGCAATAATGCCCACTTGTAACACCAAGCAGCACGCCTTCAACCAAACCATCTAATAAATAATTCTGCACAGTGATGAACACCACTGTCTCTATAGCTTAAAATCACGGATAAAATTTGAGAGGCGTCATTTTCCAATCGTGGCTGAAAGGCTGGCAGCAGTGAAACAAGCCTCCATTGTTCCCCTAAATGAGGTCGAGTTTACATCAAACGGGGTCTCTCCACTGGCCCCCGGACAAGAGAATCCATTATCACGCCCCAGCGCCTTTTCTGACTGGCATTTGGATGTTCTGCAAGATGCCAAGTGATTTGTACTGTGAAAATAAGAGCAGTGAAAGCTACTCAAATGGGAGGTGCCCATGTAAAAAGCCAGCTATTCCTGGCAGACTAACAAACACTCCAGACTGTGGAAGTCTTATACAGAATCAGCGCCCACTACAATTTTAACTGAAAACAGGAACAGCCATTTACAATGTTCTTCACCACCAAGACACCAGGTGCACTAACAATCAACTGTGGTGTAAACTTTGTTATTACTTAATGTCAGGCCGCCATCTCTCGGAGCTCAAAATACTGATCCTTAGTTTTCTTCTGGACCCTCACATTTTTATGGAAAATAACTAAAAAACAATAGTTGATATCTTTCTGGTGATTGCAGCACCTATTTACAACTAAATAGATCTAAAGAATGGCTCCCTAACTTACCATTTCTGATGTCAGCCATTTTGTAATGTCCAATTTCCCTGTGCAAATTGCTACAGCCTACGTATCACACTTCACCTTAAAATGCAACATGCACAAAAAAACCACATCCACTGAAAATCCATGATGCATGTCAGTCAAGGTGATGGAGGGGATTTTTCAGTCTAACACAGACGGCTGTATCTGCATGGCTGCAGAAACTCCACAGTGTCAATAAAAAATTAAGAATTTTGCTAGTAAGCATTACTGAATATTGTGATTAGATTCTAATCTGTAACTAAATAAAACGCCTGGCATGCAGACAGCGGTAGGCTGTTGACTTTTAGTAAAGGAAAACAAACTCCCAGACTAGATTTACAGATTAAACACATTTTAAAGTGCTTAGCTTCAGGGGTGACTGTATATTTTAAGTATCAACAAATATTTGTTTATCACGCACGAGTTTACATAAACAGCATAAGTCTGCGCCCGTACATTTTATCAACTGAATCAAATGTTATTCTGCTGATACTAGAAAAAAATCACAGCATAATTAAAAAGAAATTCCGTTCTATACGTGCTGTGTTGTGACTGCAAATAGATCACAGAAAAATAAAACCTTAAGAGAAATGTATGTAACACTATAGTGATCTGGTTTTACCCCGACAACTCGGAGCTCATGTTGTACATGCGGAAAAGGGGCTGGAAGCGCGACCCCGAGAACGGGGGCGCGCCGCCGGATGCGGGAAACGGGTTTGCGATACGGTCCCGCGCTAAAGATGGCGGCCGCTCCCGGCAGAACACGTGACCGAAGGCGTACGCGGCCCTCGCGCTCGGCTCGGTCGACGTCTGACGTAGTGTGTTTATGTTGAGCGAGCGCATCCGCCTGCAAAACATAAACATGCTGCTGCGGCCACATCTGGGTCCGTTAAATTAAAGATGGATAATTAAGGCTAATGTGGCCAAAGAAAAGCGCCCCCCCCCAATGGCAAAGTATCGGGCTGTCAACGCATGTTTGACTCAAAAATAACTTCCTGTTTTAATCTGGCTTAATTAGAGTTTGACGACATGGCCATAAGTTTGATTTTGTCTGCGAGATTCGGCCAAAAGTGTCGTTTATCGCCTTCGTTGCCTAACTCCTGCAACAAATCCAAATATTAGTGTTGACAGCGAGCTAAACTGCAGTATTTGGGTTTAACTGAAAAAAATGGCTGATTGAATTTCTTACCTAATACATTTCAGACAACACATCAACTAGTAAAATGAACTAGAACCTATACGCGTTTACGGTTTTCAGGAAACAACTAACCAATGATCACAAAAATTATATATGCAACATATTTTAATCTAGAATGACATTAACTGCAAAGGTTGCAATATGATTAAAAAACGCAACAAATTTTCCACAAGCTTCTTAATGATCCACGATGCTGCAGCCGAGTTTGATAATTACATAACAACAGATGACAAGATAATGCTGTCGCCATCGGAAAATTGTGCATTAAATAAGACGATCGGACACATGTAATGCAAAGGGCTTACTCTCTCGGTAGCCGAAGCGGAGGGGCGCCTCTCCTTTGGAAAACGCCGTCCACGAAGACGCCGTTTTTGCCCAGGCAGCGCAAGTAGAAAAACGGCTCCTCAAAAGTGATCTGCAGGTGCCGCCTAGAGATGAAGCTGGAGTGGCCCATGTTCACGTCTACCGATCCGTGTGAAGAGTTACGGCCGATGGTTACCGTCCGCAGCCGCATTACAAACTCAAAGTCCCTGCCTTCCAGGCGCGCCAGGGCCCGAGGAGGGGATAGGGCTACGGGTTCAATCCCTGCAGGACTGGCCGAGTGGGAGTACATGGGTGCTGCTGCCACTCGCACCGGGCTGCAGGGAGCAGACTTGAGAGCCAGCAGGGCCCTCGCTCCGGTATCATCCGCGAAATCAGACATGTTTTTGGAAGATACACAGGGATACCAACTTTAGGTACACCACTAGGAGAAACTAAGTCTTGTTGATGGGAGCGCAGCACAACATGGATTGGGTCCCTCTAACACCCGCAACGGATCCCCGGACCTGGATCGGACGGAAGTGCAGCTTAATCTTAAAGACACGACGGGCTTCATTCGACATTCGAGACGGTTTCTTCAGAAACTGCTTGCGTTTTTACATACGAATCAAAATACCCAAAAAATAAATTATTTATGTTTACTTGTTCCAGTGTTTATAACCTTAAACCTTGCACAGGAATCGATGTAGATGAAACACGGAATGTGATATACAGGCGCAATTTTACTTTTAGGCAATCGATTATGAATGTATAACATGTCCTTGCAAAACGCATCAATTGCCAACTGAACAGCCTCTGGCCGAAATTTGTGATCACAGAATATTTTATTCAACAAAACGCATAACGTCACTCGCCCACAAATAGTTAACTCTTAGTTCCTGGAACTAGACACGTGCGTTACATGTGGCATTACTGTGAGCTCAAAGTGAATAATCTTTTATTTTAAGTTAATATATGATGAAATGTGAGTTTCATACTTTTAGATGCAAAATGTAAAAAGTCATGCAAGGCAATTTAAAGGGGTTGTTTAAAAGTACGAGTTCGTTGGCGCTTGGTATCCGTGCTGTGTTTATAAACACGAAAGGTACAAGAAAAGCCAAAAGCACGGAAAATGGACTTCATAGAAGGACTGACTGTATTGCACCCCTGCAACACACCAGCAGGAGGCAGTGTCGGATCAGTCTTAGCAGCTCTGCTTGCGACTTGCAGAAATGTAATCGAAGTTACTTAGTGAGTAGCGTTAAAAATACTGGTTCAGTCTAATGCGACAGTCTTTAGTACCTTAACATCACAAATAAGTGGAGTTAAACTTCTTAAAAAAATAATTTATATGCTATCTGTAAATGATACGCATAATTGTTTTGCTTCATTTCATTTAAAACTATTAAATACTACTGCAATCAAACAGGCTTAATATTAGGAAACATACCCTCTAAATGATATAGGAACCTCTTTAAATGTTATTTTTTCATGCTCAAATTTTAAGTATAATCAAATATTAACATAAAGCCTGTAATATCAAATGCACATTTAGTCATAATGAAGTCAAGCATTTTGTGTGGTCACTGTTGGCAAAGTAAACATGTAACCTGTGTTAATATATTTGCAATGTTTTCCTCAAAATGAAAATGAAAGTCCGTGTCCCGAGAAGGACGTTCTGGTCATCAAATGAATATAAAAGCTCACACTTGGCATTAATGAGACAGAGTAGCAATTACATTTTCTCATCAGTTTGACCAGATTAGAGAATTCAGTATTTGCCATTTATAGAATGTAAAACGACAAATTGATTAAACGCTTTGAAACTGGAGTTCCTGGAAGATACGTAGTAGGCCTATGTGCAGAACAGCTGATAAATTGATTAACGGCAATTGCAACTGATTTTGCAACTAGTGCTGTTGTTAACAGCTAGCTTAGAAGATACAGTGTTTTACTCTGGTTTCCTGGTGCAGTTAGGCTAAGTGGTGTCTTTACATTGCCTCTAGAGTACTGTGTGTGCCTGTGCAGGGTGTAGCGCAGCCTTTTGCCATATGCAGTATGTGGGGTAGCTTATATGTATGGCCGTATTTTGGTGCCACCCTGTGGCCATTTTTAAAAATTGATTATTTACAGAGGGTGTGGCACACTTGCGCAGTGCTGTGCGGGGTAGGTGTTCCAACCCTGCCGGCCTCCCTGTGTCTTCCGTTTGAATGCTCTCCCTTTGTCGCGTTGGTTTTTCTGGGTACTCTGGCTTCCTCTTGTAGTCCAAAGAAGTACACGTAGGTGGACTGACTTGTGTAAACTGACCGTAGTGTGCCTGTATCTGCCGTGTGATGGACAGAATTTGGGGGCGGGGCAGTCAGTGTGCTCCCCAGCCTTATCCATTACTCTGCCTGGAGTAGGCTACAGATCAGCCACAGATGCCCCTTCCGCTCAGCTGGATTCCGCTCAGATTTCTAGAAGCCTTTTTCTCCTTAATATTTATATAAATGTGTGTGTGTGTGTGTATATATATGTGTGTTTATATATATATATGTGTGTGTGTGTGTGTGTGTGTGTGTATGTGTGTGTCATCTGAAGAAACGACACATAACGAATATTGGTCTCATTCACCACCACATGGTGTGTTCAGAACCAAATACCTATGTCAGTCTGCATATTGTTTGTGAGGAGTTACCATAGAGTCTCCAAAGCATCATTACCTGGAAGAATTTGCGCTTTTCTACCCTAAATTAACAGCATGATTCATTAGCTAGTTTGACAGTCATTTTGAACTAATTAATGTTACAATTAATAAAACAATAATAGAATAAAATCAGTAAATCCATTAATCCATTGATAATAAACGATGACAAAATATGAGTGGCGTTGTCGATCGGTAGTGATGCATGCATGCTCTGATGCATGTTTGCCATCCACTCGTGTGTGGCTTTCATTCCACCATATTTTTGTGTTCTTGATTCAAGTTCTGCTTGCTCATGCACTAACCGTCTGTGCCTGCAAAACAACCCTTTCTGTTGTGGAGTCATTCCATAAAAACAATTGCTTATTTAATTTGAGAGATCTTTCAAAAATAGACTGAGTAACACGTTTCAGAGTTAGTTCTTCTTAAAAACTGAACATCCCAATATATAATTAGTATTACTAATATTAACTACTCGACAGTGGTCCTGGACAGAGCATAGAAGAATAGGTAATTTTACAAGTATGAGAGTAACATAAAGGTGTTACTGGAGTGTAAAACACAGACACATGGTGAAACACTGCCAGGAAAACACACAGATATGAAAATATCCCAACAGTACATAAACACAAAAATAATATTAGAAAACTTAAAACTTTCAAGAAATATTTTCAGAAAATTACATTGAATGAGTCTTTTCATTGTATAGCTATACTTATAATATTAGGCTAATGATTGGGGAAAATACCAGTTAATTTGTCTCAGACAAACAAAATATATGTAGGTTTTATACATTTATATGCATTCACTTTTCATTATTAATGGCATCTTGGAAGCATCAGCGTGGGATGAGTTTCAGTTTTATTGGACTTTTAGGTGCAAGCAGTCCTTGAATGCCCAGTTCAAGTGGTATCTGAAGCAACAGAAACGAAAAAAGAGCTGAAATTTCCCAATGAAATACTAAACAAGTGGAACATTTGAAATTTCTTTAGCTCCAAACTCCATATTGAATAAGTCTAATCAATCTTCCCAGTTATGTAATAACCTGTAAATTACAAAATTTCACTCCGCCTCATTTGAATAAATTTAATAATTCTTGTACTGTTATTGTATTCCTATATTTTTTTGTTGTAATTTTTGAAATACTTCATTCATCTCTACTTACAGTTTCAGAAGGTTGCACATACTGATAATGTACTTGACCTTTTCAATCAAAACATTTAACAAGATTATTAACCAAATTCCACTGACATGTGAAAGGCAGAAACGGCAGTTGGCGGTTGCCAAAATGGCAAATTTCGTAGCTAATTTCGTGGCGGCAGATTGATGCAGTGGATTGACTGAGTGATGATTCTTGATAACAGCGATGGAAGTGACGGGAAAATTGCAAACAACATATTAATGAGTAATGAATCAACACTACTCACGGGTGTCTCTTTGCCCACAACAACGTCGAAGTTCTGAAGGATCTCAACTATAGCCAGTTTCACAAGGATAAGAGCGAATCTCATTCCAATGCAATTGCGGGGCCCAGCTCCAAAAGGCAGATATGAGTATGGATCTATGCTCTCTTTGTTCTTCTTATTAAACCTATTAAGCAGAAAATATGGATGCAAAACAAGGCATAATGACAAATTTATCAGAAATGTAAAGAACAAACATATTTTTAAACAATGAGATGAAGTCTGTTACTCAGCAAATGAATAATATAAGATTTACTTGTTATTGAGTTCTGTTTGGCAAATGGAAATGTATTAAAGCAAAATGTGCATAAAAACTAACCTCTCTGGGTCAAAGTCCTCAGGATCAGTCCAAACATCGGGATCACGGTGTAGGGCAAAAGTCGGGATCATGACCACAGTTCCCTTGGGAATGATGACCCCATTAATCTCAATGGTCTTTTTGCAAACCCTCTCAAGACGGCCTGCAATGGGGTAAATCCGCAAGGATTCGTTCAAGACCATGTCGAGGTACTCCATTTCCATCAATTTGTCATATGTCACTGGGGCCTATGGAAAACAAGCAAATTACTTATGCATGTAGCTAATATGTTAGCATATAAAACACTGGGATCATGAATAGAATCTTAATACATAATACTAATATACCTTTAGTTACACTGACCACATTTAAAATTTTCAAGCTAATGAATCTACGGTAGACCAAGGGTCTTCTTCTGTTCAATGTGGATGCTTCTAAACTGCCAATAAAATATTTATTGAAGAATAACTGTAATATTATAAGTTTAGTCTTATTTAAACTAAGGTATCCATTTTTTCCTAGTACATGTTTTCATAGTAAATTCGCCTGTGTTTCCATTCTTTTAAACTCTTGAAGATATTACAGTTTTGAAATGTTTGACACATGTGGCGAAGGGGTCTCACAGCTGGGGGTAATATTAGCCAACCTGGGGGGGGGGGTTCTTTGTAAATTGTTGTGAATGTCTGTTATCAAAACAGGCTCTCGGTAAAATCACCTTGGTAGCTTGGCAGCTTCCACTGCTATAGGTTTGACAGTTTTGTATTTGATAATTACTTTATTTACACTATACTTAGACTAAATTGGCTTTGACTAAGCATGTTAGCCAGCATTACTGTAACTGTGACCATACTGACAACAATTGATCTACACTTGGCTTTTCCTGATGGGATGACATCGAACAGGAGGAGCAGTGTATCACTGGCTACATCATTCAAAAATCTTCAGTGCATGATGTCACTGGAGCTATACCCTCAAGGGTCTGCCAATCGTACCCTTAGCTGTAGGTAACTGTACCTTTTAAGGTAAAGAAATTGACTCTGAGGAACATTTCTGTACCATTGTTGGTACATTAATGCTGTTTGTACCTTTGGGATGTTCCTCAGAGATTTCTGTACCTTAAAAGGTACAATTGCAATGGTACAGCCCCAATGTCAAGCAAAGGTGAGAGTGTACATGAAGTGTTCATAAGTCAAACTAACAGTTACTTCTGAAAATAAAACACTGAAGCGGAGTATACCTCTTTCCTCTCCCGTTTTTCATTTAATTGGAGTTTGCTTAGATTAGCTTTTAGGAGTTTGTGAGAAGGCCACGTTAATCTCAGCCCCAATAAACTTTATGGCTGAAACCCCATGACTGTGCTGTATGGTTCTGTTTACCAACCCTATGGGGGCCTCACATGCGCCTCAGCTTTTTGACCCTTGTTCTCTCTGATTGGCCCCTCCCCCTGTCATGCAGTCACCTTATTGGGAAAAGTCTCATCGATCTCGTTTTGTAGCCTTTTCATGACTTCAGGGTTTGTGGCCAAGTTGTAGGACAGGAATGACATAGTGCTGCTGGTGGTCTCGTAACCGGCAAAGATGAAGATCATGGATTGAGAGAGGATCTCGTGGTCTGTCAGTCCTGAAGATAGAGACCAAAACATAAGTAAGAGAGAAAGATGCATGAACACATTGACACTACATTATGTCTGGCCAACATTTACAGCAATACATCTACTGTTCATTATATTTCTTGACGACCTGCTTTCATTGTGGCTTCAAATAATGCAGATAAACCCAGCACAGTGTTAAACCCCTATATCTTTAACTATTGACCCCCCCCTTCCATTGCTTATATTAATAACCAGTGTCTTCATAAATTAATTAAAAAAGTAAAAGATGTCCAAAGTTGAAATTCTCACTTAATCATAAAAATTCACATTTCTTAAATACCTTTTACTTCATTTTCATTACATTCCTTTTCTGTTATCTGAGAGTCCACCATCAGCTGTAAGAAGTCCACTCGATCCTAAGTAGAGGAGTGACATTTCACTAATGATCTGGCCGTGATGTTAGTAGCAAGACCATCTTCATTATGCATCACCTAAGATGCTAGTCTGTTATGGCTCTGCCGTTTTGTATTATTTTTTTAAAAGATTTTTGCAATTTAATCTCTGTGTTGTAGCAATTATGATTCCAGGAAGTCCCTAAGACACTAAGAGTAGGCTAATGGATATAGTTTGTTCTGATGTATTACTAAAAATAAGAAAAAAACTTTACTTTGTGGACTTTAGTTTGACGTTCAGCCTTTATTTTCTGAAGAGAGGCGTAAAAGAAATCAGTCACAGAGGAAGGAAAGAAGGTGAAATCCAACTTCTCCAGCAGCGACGTCATGAAAGGAAAAAATGCTGCACAAATAAAACCATAACATTCAAAAATGAGACGTGCATGGGAAAGTTTGTCTACCAAAATTAATATGAACAAATGAAACTTCTATTACCAACAAAGAGAAAAAGAGGATTGAGAAAATCGAATTTCAGCATTTTCTTGATGTTGGTGACAAAGGGGTCTTTGGGATTGTTGAGAGAGTCAATGTCAATGCTGAAAGCTGTGCTTGTCACAGAATCCATACTATATGCACCAAAAAACCTGAAGAAAAAATGAGGAAATAGCTTCATTCTTGCAAGGTACATTCTAGTGTGTAATTCCACACCCAGGCAAGGGTGATTGTATGGTACGTGATACAGTATAATCGCTGTGAACCACGAGTAACAGGTACTCGTTAGCTACTCACTCTTTCATTTCCACCGATTCATCCTTGTCAGCTGTCTTCTTCAGGTTCTTCACTAATGTACTGGAATGTTTCTTCATAATCGTAAACATCTGAAAAATGACAACAGACATACGCTGACAGGTTACTTCTATGAACTATAGGTGACTTCAAATGAATGTTTAAGTTTGGATTTAGTATTAAATGTTTGTTGATACAGAATTATGTAATGGATTGTTAATAATACTGTAGATGTACATTTAAAAATATCTGTACTTTAAAATCTTTGTTATTACGCAACAAATAAATTCAACAAATAAGTCAAATCTTAAATACAGTAATATAGTTTGAATTTACATTATAGAAATGTATATTTGTTAGGGATTTCTCGTTTCTGAATGAGTACTAAGTTCTTTCCTGTTGACATTATTATTACTGTAATTTTCTACAGTTCATTTATCTACTGATATGAAGTCATCTCTAATCTAGAAACACTACTCAAGGTTCACCCGGGGCTTGGTTTGCTGAGTGCTGTTCCACTCACCTCCTTGAGACGACCGCTGGTGAAGGAGGGAGAAAGCACACTGCGAATTCTCTTCCACTGCTCATCCTCTGCGAGAGAGATGGCATCATACAGGGGACCACTGAGGCCAAAGTTCTATAAAACAAAGAGTTTTAAGCAATTTTAGACTTACAGGGGCTTTTGCAGGTGCTTTATCATTTATAAGCTGCAGGTGGAATTAAGTGATATTGCCTTACTCGTCTATTAGTAAAGAAGGAGTAGCATTCTTTGATTAGTATGGTTTTGACCATTCCTGGGTCCGTAATAGCCAACACAGGCTGTCGTCCATCATATATTCTACAATATAAAACAAATATGAAAAGTGAAGCCGCATCAGCACAGTCCTGATGTCTCAAATATACATGTATGTATCACAAAGCTCTACTGCAAACGTCTTATTGATTGATCTCTTTGTATGATTGGGGAGGAGTACTCACCCCCATATTTTCCCATATTTTTGGAAACAGTCCAAATCGTAATTGAAGAAGCCCTAGATATATTAAGACGATAAATGTGAAGCAATACAATAATTTCCAACATGTTCAAAATGTTAACATTTCTAAACAACAGAAGGCATTTCATATGGATGAAACCTGTATGTATATTTCAAATGTACCTTGCGGTATTCCAAAAGTGTCCCAATAAATGGGAGGGGCTTTGGCCCTGGAATTCCCAGCTTTTTAAAGAATCCAAAAGGCCAATATCCATAACTGTCAATAACAAATAAAGGGTTACAGTACACACGAGAAGTGAGGAGTTTAATCGTGTTACAAAGCAATAAAATCTCTGAGCATTTACACTCAGAAATAACTCACTCACTATACTTTTCAGATGAAAATTACCCATAATTTTGTGTATATATATATATATATATATATATATATATATATATATATATATATATACATACATATTAGTATACATGGTAAGCATGTAATACATCAAGTAAGGAAAACTTATCAATTGTACAGTTAAATATTACTGCAATTCAAAAAAAAAATCAGCTACATCCAGGGTAATTCAGTTTAATAACATGAACAAGTAAATTAAAATACTATTATGCTATTTTATGAAGCCCTAAGATAGCTGCAAAACACAACATTTTGTTTATATATATGTGTGTGTGTGTGTGTGTGTGTGTGTGTGTGTGTATAGATAATACTCACGCGATAACTAAGGTGATTAATAATAAAATCAGGGTCCAGGTCTCTGCTGAGAAATACCAAGCGTAGCTCATGGTTCAGTCTTTTCCTGCCTTTCGAAAAATATAGTGAAAGATATAACCAGAAATGGCGTTTCAACTTCTCAGCAGCACTGTATGGCTCCGGCGGCTTTTAAAAACCTTATCAGGACGGGACTGCGTTGCTCTGTTAATAATTTACCAGCAACTTTTACTGCCGAAAGACAAACACTCCTGATCACGTAACGCGCTCTGCCTCCGCTTCGAATATCATTCTTTGTTCAGTCTCACGTGTCATGTTAGTGTCTCAGATTTACATGCCTTATATGGAGATTTCCCCTTGCCCGAAATGTAATTGTGAAATAATAGAAAAACCCGAAATTCATTATGTCAGAGGGCTTTGCTTAATTTGGAGTATAGGACACCTACTCATTGTTGTACAAAGAAATCCACTCCTTCCCCTTAACTCTTTAACTACCAAAGACCTGACAGCCTTCACTTTGTATAGACGAAGTTTACCTTAAAACCGTAAGAAAACATGAGAAACAATAATATATCACTGAAGAGCCATAATTACTTCCCGGTGTTCTATCCATTAGTCCTACCTTGTCGAGTTGTCCTAGCGCGTTTCGGCAGATGTATCTATCGATCGGTGCTACCCTACTTTATCAAAGCATCCTACCTTTATTAGATACTTCGATGGCCAATTTCGATACACTTAAGTACTTTATAAGGATTTACTGTCATAAATACGTGAGTGACAGTGACACATCAGCCTTATGTCAGGTAATTCTACATATCACATACAAAACATTGATAGTAAATCAGCGTGATACTGATAGTAAAGTGTGGTGAATTATTTAATGAAATATTAAAATAGCATGAACTTTCTGTTCTGTTCACCTGTTCCTTTCAAATGTTATTTTATAATGAAATTCACAGACGTTTCATCTCCAGCGGTTAGCTGTCATATTAAAATAACAAATGGCTATGTTTGATGTATGTGCTAATTCACTGCCAATAGGAATAGAGCTTAATTATGAAGGTGTTCACCTCATACGTTTCATGTTGTAAGACAAATGTAACGATGAATAGAAATATTATGAAAAAGTTTTTTATTTCAATTTTATAAGAATCAAATTGAAATGTATGGAATATATCAACCTTAAAAAAGAATGTCATATCTGAAACAATAGAACAATGACAGAACGTGCACTGTGGGTATGTTCTTCACTGTGCATTTTCACACCGGCACAAACATTAATCATATATCTCTGATGGGAGATAGGGGGTTAGAAACTGTTTCATAATTATACCTTAAGTGTTTGGGTTCAAGGGGTGGCATGGTGGTGCAGTGGTTAGCACTGTTGCCTCACACCTCTGGGATCTGGGTTTGAGTCTCCACCTGGGTTACATGTGTGTGGAGTTTGCATGTTCTTCCCATGTCGTCATGGGGTTTCTTCTGGGTTCTCCAGTTTCCCCCCACAGTCCAAAAACATGCTGAGGCTAATTGGCATTCTTAAATTGCCCATAGGTGTGCCCTGTGATGGGCTGGCCCCCTGTCCAGAGTTGTGCCCATTGCTTCTGGGATAGGCTCCAGACCCCCTGTGACCCAGTAGGGTAAGTAGGTTGGATAATGGATGGGTGTTCAGTTAAGAATGTTCCTTTTTGAAATATTAACTGGCCGAGTCAAGGTATTATAAGTATTTTCCTTTGGGGACAGACCTTTTCAGGCAGGAGTGAGTCAAGGTATTATAAGTATTTTCCTTTGGGGACAGACCTTTTCAGGCAGGAGTGAGTCAAGGTATTATAAGTATTTTCCTTTGGGGACAGAAAAGGTCCCCAAAAAGGTCCCCTTTTCAGGCAGGAGTGAGCAATTTTTGCAGTGAAATTAGGCTATGCCTATCTTTTCCAAATAATAGGCCTATTTGTTTAGTTTGCACTTCACTCTTAGAAATAAACATTAATTCTCCTTAATAAAAGAAACAAATTAGAAAGTGAAATGTTTTCTTTATATGTGAAATAATTTCTTTTGGTTTGAAAAGCATAATTAAAAGATCTGTAACAAAACTTCCATCAAAAACAAGACTGAGTGAAATGATTTGCAAAAAACAAATTGTATTATTTTTGTCTGTAGCTTTTTAAAAATTATGTGTGAATATAAAGTGTTCAATTCATGGCATATAATATGATGGTAGGATTATGTTTATGAAAAAAACAATAATTAACAACAATGTGACAAGAGCTCATTTTGAATAATGGTATTTGTATATCAAAACAGAAGTTCAGTGATAATACACATTATCAGCCTTTTTCATCCACATCCCTGCCCTAAAACCAATGAAGTGAAAATCAACATTTTCTTTGCACATGTGCAGTCTTTGTGTAGCTGCTCTTCTGTCAGAAACAGCTGCTACTACTAAGTTGTACCTTCATTCAAACTAGCGATGCGATTTGCCCAGTGAAGTGCTTAGCAACAAAACTACACAAGCAAAGCAATCAAAGTGCAAATGTTAAATAACGTGTTCTTCATGTGTCCTTTAAGATGCCATAGCTCGTTACTCAAACACACACAGTAAGTGTTTGAATAAAAATCTGTGTAGTACTGAAGCGGTTACCCGGCCCCATCAAAAGCCAGCATGAGCCTATATTACCTCATTAACGAATCGAGTATCCTATTTAAAAAACGATTAAAATCATTCAAGAGAGATAAAACTAATTGTAATTAGCGGTCTATTGAGAGGTAAAGATTACTTCTGGTTAATCCCATTGTTAGCCCATACAGCTGCCTATTATGCTCCAAATAAACTTTTTTTTTTTTTGCTCAGTGTAATCGACTGACCCAGTTTAACACAACTAATGACCACGGTAACTCCGATCTTCTGGGGTAAGCTGTTCATAGTTATCATTGTATTATTACTATTTCAATAGGTGTTGGTCATTTTTTAAAAACACAAATAAGGATAAAGATTGCATATAAACACAATGGACACCAGTAAGGTTATTATAGACGATATGCTTATTAAAGATGGAAACATATCTGTATTATATTATATTAGGAATTCCCCAAATCCCCATTTCTCTAAGTGGTCCTGCATTCTAATGCCTTTCCCAGCATTATATGCTGGTAGCATGTTATAATGGATGCAGCCCTCCTCCCCCCACCCCACTAACAATATATAATTTTATAATTGTATGCATTTAAGGGCCCCTGTAAAGTGCTGCCCCCCCCCCCATCTGCCAGGGTATCCATGCCCATACTGCGCCCCAGTGGGCTGTGATAAACACACTTACTTCATGTTGGACACCAGAAAGGATAATGCGAGTGTCCCCACAGTGAATTCTTGGGAAAATTTACAGAAACATTAAGTTAGTCATAACTGGGGGCTGAATATTTATGTTATATATTTACTATTTGTGT